CGGGCTCTCGCTCTCTCTTTCTGCGGACCCTTAAGGTCAGAGGAGCCGTCACAGTGACCCCAAACAAAAAGGTATTTGTGTCTCTTGTGGGGTTATTTCGTCCAGCCCAGTTAGCCCAGTTGAACTAGAGTGACCCCTGAGCCTTTTAGTCGTGAGAACAGAAACCCGGCAGTCAGCGTCATCACTGACTTTATCAATACACCATTTCTGTGTCCACTGGATGTCCCAGAGGTTCTCCCCTCAAGTACGATCTGAGATGGCTGAGGAGTCTCTTTCTCCCTCTATCAAGTGGGAGAAGGATGACAGTGAGAGCAGGAGGGAAGAGAGAGAAACTGTATCTCCATCACAAGCTCATTCCCCAGCAGAAGAACTTGAGGAAAGAACTTGTGTAACCCCAAGACTGGAAAGGTTGTTGAAAAATCCCCAAACCCCGGTTTTCTACCAAAAAAAAAAAAGTATCTTTTTATAGAATGGTTTTTTGGTTTTGTTTTGTTTCTTGGTACTGAGGATTAAATATGAAATGGCTTTTAATAAAAGGCATCAAGATCTGCTTCAAGTTAACAAAACTTCTTCACAACCCCATCCATCCTTGATTTTCCATCCATTTCCTAAAATTTTTGGAGTCGTTACCATATTCCCATCTGCTTGAGTTTACAACTGACTTGTTAGTTTTATGGTCTGCTTGAGCCAAAACTGGGTCCTGGGACATCTCTTGTCCAACTATTGAGTCTTAAAATTTTTCTTTTTCTTTTTCTTTTGTTTTTATGGTGCCGAGGACTAAACCCAGGGCCTTGTGCGTGTGAGGCAAGCACTCTACCAACTGAGCTCTATCCCCAGCCCTTAAACTTTTTCTTTAAACATTTCTTTAAAAGAAAAAGGTCATTTTCTTCATTAGGTACATATGAACATGGGGAAGAGGAATAGATTGTCCAAGCATGTCTATGATAAAAAGTTTATGATTTTATTACTATCACAGAAAACACAAACTTCATTTAAATCCAGAGGCAAAACCAACAGCATTGTGGGGCGAGGGGTATTTAAGATCTTGGGAGATCTGAAGGGCAGAAAACAGTGACACTCAAACTCTTATCACTGCAAATACCCCGATACCCTATGAACTAATGGCCAAACAGTCCCCCGACACTTGGGTGGATGAAGGAAGGAAGGCAGAACAGGGAGGGTGCCCAGCTCTCCAAGCACATCCATCCTCATCTGGTGAGAAAGCCAGTGTCCCATGGCTAAGCCACCAGCATGTCTGTGACAACATGAAGAAACTGGACAGGAAGCAGAAGGCTGAGTGCTCACCAGAAGTTCAACAGAGATATGGCATCCTGCAATTTAGGAATGTGCATCAAAATCCTTAAAATGCACATAAATGCACCAGAAGCTGCCTCTTTAATTATACAGAAACGTTTGGATCAGCCCACAGAATAATGCAACATGGTGTCATCCAACTTTTTTCATAATAAAAGATCTAGAAACCTTAATATCTACTGGCAGAGAATTGGTCATGTGAATTATGGTGATCTATGACCCATACATTAAGATAGATGTGGCATAACTTAGAGTACACATAGTCTCTTTGTAATGTCCTGGGGAAATGCTCTTCACTTGTAACTCTGAAGGCAAAAATCAGGCTAATGAAATAAAACTATATGTGTTAATAAAACAGAATCAATTTTATGAGTACATGCATATGGACCCATGCGTACTCACACACACATCCATGTATATATTCAAGAAAACAATCAAGGACATGATAACAAAATGTTAATATCTTGATTGACAGGGATAGGGTTAAAATCAACTACCCATTAATGTCTACAGTGCAACATAATGATGCCAGGCAGAAACTTGGGCACAAAACTAAGCACAACAGAACACATGACACTGTGTCTCAGATGAAAGCACCAAACTCAAAATCCAAACTGTTCTTGAGAGCAGCTGAGGGAGCCCTAGGTGACTTTCAAGAAAAGTGGCTCAGTGCTGAATGGGCATGTATAATCCCATATCACAAGACAACAGCAGAAGACACATGGCCCACAAGTTAGAAACTGCAGACCATGAGTCCAGCAGGGACACGAGGACCTACCTGATCACGTTGCACTGAGACGCAAACATGGATGGTGGTAGATGCTGGCCTAATGGAATAATGTAACTTATAGGCTGAAAGTTGCTTTATACTGTAGAAAGGATGGAATAGACCAGAATAAATTCCACTGTAGATGAATGAGGTTTACTATGCAATGCATTCTATGGGCTAAGAGTGGTGAGATGGGGACAGAGAGAACAGAAACAAAGTGGTCCCAGGGACATGTTTTGGGAGAGTTTCTATCACTACTTGATTAACAGAAGACAGTAACAAGTCAACAGCTCCTACTGTGTTTGAAGCAGCCCTAAACAGTCATGATTTATATTTTGAATATAGATAGCACTTGATACACTGATGGTTCGACTTACATTTTTTTACTTTAAGATTGTGTGAAGATGATACGTATACAGTAGGAACCATACCTTTGCAGTTTGAATTTTGCTCTTTTCACAGTCTAGCTGTATGTGGTGTGACACTCTCAAGATGCCAGGTGGCAGCAGTGACCACGGTGCCGGCTCGAAGGGTGAATGAGCCACACCAGTGTGCCCTGATGCTGAGCTGGGGTGTCTGGAAAGATGAGTGAATTCAATGGAGTTTTGACTTAGGATATTTTCAACTTAGCACGGATTAACCAGGATGTATCCCCACCTTATGCCAAAGAGGCTTCATGCTCCTTCTCCTTTCTTCAAACATCCACTCACTTTAGAGAAGCCTCTGGGGTAGGCAATGCTGCCATCCTGGCCTCATACATTTTGCATGTAAGTAGCTAAATATTTTGAGTATTGATTTTTCTCCCTGTATTTTCACTTTTCCTTCCCTTCACCTGCTCAATATCCCCCCTTCTTTGAAGGCAACTGTGATATCCTGGAAGAGGCACATGCCAAAAACTGGAAATTGCTGTAAAGCCCTGGGAGGGATAAAAAGTCGGTTACAGGTGAAGAAGGCTTTTTTCCACTGTTCTTCCCCCTCCTTCCCCATATCCACCCTGCACAGAAAGGGCACATCCACTGGCTGGGGGTAGGGGCCGGAGAGGGCTGAGAGACTAAAGGGGCCAGAACTTGAGCAACAGCACAGGAAGCAGACAAAACACTGAGGACTTGAGTACAGAGATAACTAGGGGGCGCAGCTCGGAGTTGGGCAACTGGAAACACTGGAGAGCCCACCTCCAAAGAGGGACCCTGAGCACAGGAGCATTGGCCATCGATACAGTAGCCTTTGCAGACAAATGGACACCAAGACTGGAGGCAAGGACCTTACCCAATGCCCCAAACCCTGACAGCCAGGGAGAGTCAGGGGCAGTGAGGATGGTTTCTGCCAGGCAGGTGGGATATGTGACTGAAAAAGAAATTGTTAGAGGGGGAAAGGCCCTGGGATTGTTCCTTCTGTACCTGACTTTGAGCACTCACTTTCTCTGCACAGGGCTAGTCGGGAATGCAGCCCAAGCCGCTAAATATCACTAACACCGGAGGACAAACTGTTGGGATGACTTGTTAAAGTGGCTTCAGTCAGTCCCAAGGAGGATGGAAAGAAATCTTTCTGTATCTTCAAATGAATGTATTGATGCATGGTGCCTATGAAAGTGTCGTGGCTCTAAATCACTGTTTAATGTCAAAACACGGAGAGGCCATCAAACTGATGTTTCTCAAATGAACATGCCTCTGAACTATCCAGTGATTTTCTTAGAACAGAACAGACATTATTACTTTATGTATATATGTGACTGTATGACCAATATGATTCTACAATATGTACACTCAGAAAAATGAGAAATTATATCCCATCTATGTATGATAGATCAAAGTATATAAGTGTATTCTACTGTCATATGTAACTAATTAAAACAAATAATTTCTTTTTAAAAATCTGGTTTGATTTCACATCTGTGCTGAAGGCCCATTTTCTGCTGTTCTCACAAGCTCTGGGGGGTTGATGCTGTGGTCCACAGACCTCCACAGGAACAGCAAGGAGCCACAGAGCAGAGCTCGGCAGGGTCAGGAAGGACTGTTCTAGATCACCTTACATAGGAAGGAGAAAACCTTTTTACCTGGAGGGCAGGTGTGGTGGATACCTCGGACTGGGTAAGGTTTATAAGGGATTCCAGAGAAAGGTCAGGGGACTCTGACAGGAAGAGAAAGCTGGCCAAATCATATTTAACATTGTGTGTGTGTGTGTGTGTGTGTGTGTGTGTGTGATTCTATGAAAAATCCAGGCAGCAGGCCACCAGTGACAAACTGTGGAATGACCCACGAGTTCCCTCATCCAGTCCTGAGTTCTGCACACGACCCCAACACTTCCCCATGCACCCCTCCACCTGCTCCCCCCAGGATGGGGGCAGGAGACCTGGAAAACAAATCAGTTCTACCAAACACCAACTGCTTCTTAAAAAAACTCTACTGAAGATGTAGACTTTTTTCTTGTCATTATTCCCTAAACATTATAGTATAAACAACTATCTGCATAGCATTTACATTGTATTAGGTATTATAAGTAATCCAGAGACGATATAAAGTATACAAAAGGACTTGGCTAGGTTATATGTAAATACTATTCTATTTACATGAAGATCCCTGAATTTAGGTACCCACAAGAGTCCTGGAACCAATCACTCTGCAGATACTGAAGGATGACTGTCATCCCACTATGGGTAATAGATGTATATTTTTGGTATTTCCTATTCTCCAAGCTTTTAGACCAAGATGTCAAGGAACTATAGGGCTTTTTCCCTCTTTTTAAAAATTTCTTTTCTGTTTTGGTTAGAACTTCAAGCCTTACCAAAACAGCTTCCCTTGATGATCATAAGAGGGACTTTATTAATATAGATATTCCCAGAATTTTTTTCCCCCAGGGACTCTTTCTAGTCCTATTTCTACTCATCTTCAAGCCCCCAAAAGGCACAGGACCACACTGGTACTTTTCAATATTTTTATTGTTTGACAGGCATTTACAACGTTCCATTCATAGACCTAAAAACATAAAAATAGACCTTCTTTCAGCTTATAAAAGAAATATATAAGAACTTTTGACATCGACACGTCATGACCTTATGTACAAGAGACAATGGCACCCTCTCTAAGCACCAGACTCTCCAGTATTTTCCATGGACGCGCTGCAGGGGGACCAGTAAATTCAACTATTCGACGCCTCTGCTTCAGTTTTCCATCCAGACACAATCGAACCCGAGATGATATGGAACAATGCGGTGATACAAAGGGCATAGAAACCATTCTAAAGCTTTTTAAGAAAACCAGAAGATATAGCAAAAATTTAATAGAATAAAATTTTCAAAAGATCAAGCTCAGAGCCCTGGAAACCCGAAAGGGGGAGGGACGTAGGATGGGAGAGAGGGAAAAGCAAGCAGGGGCACGGAGCAAGATGTTCTGAACTCTCTATTGTCTGGAAATATAAAGTCATAACTGATTCTTATAAAATATAATTCCTAAAACTACTATAAAATTCAGGTCTTTAAAGTACCTACTGATGTGTCAAACACCAAATAGATATTTTTTTTCCCCAAAAAGAAAGTTTTCATATTATTTAAACCCTTCTTAGGAAGTGGACATTGTGAAATGGGAAGAAGGAAAAAAAAAAAAAAGCTATAAACCTTTTTTTTAAAAAAAATTTGAAAGTGCTAAAACTTGTTTTTGTTCTTCTATTTGGATATCTGTTTAGAATGTTAGCTTTATCAGCATGTTTACCCTGTTTTGTTGGCATGAAGAACGTGTTAAATGCAAGAGATGTTTTTGAAGAGGTTGTTTGGTTCAGAGGTTTGGTTATGGGCTGTCAGGGAAGGGGTGGGTCATCTACGATGAAGATGCAGTTTTGATGGGAAAAACCAATCAATGATCACCATGGCAACCCCACGCGAAGGAGGCTCCCTCCCCTGCCATGTGCTACAGACGCACACACAGCCCATTCCCTGTCTTGTGTCACCCAGCCAAACTCCCATCTCAAATATAGACTCAAACATTAAAAAAAAAAAAAAAAAAGCTTCTTAAAAAAGCAACATTTATCCTTACCATGAGCTTCTTCTTGGCTTTTCGTGTATAAATATAAAGTCACCATGCCTCACTCTCTGCAAAAGGTTATATGCTCATTTCTAGACTCAGAGTTACATCTAACACTGTAAAATTCTCATCTCTTTGTGCCCCTGCATCACAGGTTAAATACAAAAAAATAGTTTTTCTTCTTTTTTCTCTCAAGTGATAAATTTGGATCTCTTTTACAAGAGTTTGGCATCTTTATAATTCTATGCAAAACTAGAGCTTCCAAACACCGACGTAGAGTCAGACCAGCCATAGTTCAAAACAGGAGAAAAAAATAAAAGGCTCATCAAGACATAAATGAGACCACCCTCTCCTCACACATTCTTAAAGTACACTGATACCCTCAGACACAGAAGAGAGAGGGAGGGCGAATCCTGCAAGCTGTACAGATACTTCGTCTTGTTCCGTTGTGTGTTCGAAAGTGGTTTCCCCAGCTAGGACACTGGCTTCAGACAGGACGGGGTGTGTCATCTCTTTGTGTGTGCTATCCCTTAAATCAATCTGTCCTAGCTGCTGGGGGCGGGGGGATCTGCTTTCCAGTGCTATAGATTATTTCTTCTGATTCTGCAGGCCCTGATTAATTGGGAATAAATAAAAGCCCTTGATGATATACAGAGGACAGGACTCCAGCTTGAACAATTCTTTCTGATGTTGTTAAGAATGACGAAGGCGGGTGGCTACATGGCTTCAGAACCGAGTCAGCTGCCGGAACCGTGTGTGCAAGAGTGCGACCTAAGGGGACATTCTCGAGGATGGGACAGGAGGGCGGGCAGAGTGGGGCGGTGGGAGAAGTATGTACACAAATCCTCTGGGGGACACGACACAGTCAGATCTCAGTGTTGAGTTTCCTGGAGGGGGCAAAGTCTTCACGCCTGACCCAAATGACTTCCTCACTGGTGCTCTCCAGACCTCCGTTGATGCCCGACAGGGCGGTCTGCTTCCTGAGCTGGGTCATGCGGGACGCGTGACTATCCAGAGTTCTCCGGCCTCTTTCTCGCTGACTGATGGAGGCAGCCTGAAGCTGCTCCTGCAGGTCTCTGTCCACTGCGGTGCCCTTCACGGACTCGCAGAACTCGTCATCGTCACTGAGGATGTCTGTCTCCTTGATGTCATCTTGCTCCTCATATTGAGCAAGATCAAACTGTTCCTCTACCCATCGGTCAGTGTCCCCGCCACCGGGGGGCTGCTGGGACTCTTTCTCCGGGCTGCTGGCGGAGACGGCATCAGAATCAATGGTAAACCTGTTGCGGGCCAGTCGCCGCCTCCTCCTCCCAAGAGACTTGCTTGGGGCGGACACTGCGCACACACACAAAAACACAAAAATAAACCCCACACGCTTCACCATGAGATGGAAATCCAGAAAGCAAAGGAAAGGAACACAACAATGAGGTGATATGCACTTAGCACCTTGACAGTCTCTGGGGCTCAGGGTTTGGAGGCTAGAGGTCACCATCCATCTTGCTCAGATGTCTGGACCTAAGAGGGTGTTGTAGCAACTCACCCAAGGGAGTAGGCAGGACACAGGAGAGGGTGTAGGCTATGGAGAAGGAGAACTCAACACCCTTTAAAATGACCTATTACTCTAGCCTGTGCATCTGGGAGACAGGTAACACAGACTCTGTAGCTCTCAAGTGCACCTCTAATCTTGGGATCAGTGAGTGATGTCTCAACCCGATGACATCTTATAGCACAGAATGGGGAAGATCCCTCAGGGCTGTCCCAGGGTCACTTGGCTAGAACAGCTATTCTTCAGTAAGTGAGGGGGATGCTGTCTTTGGAGATACTACCATGATGCACCAAGGAGGCAGAAGCACTGGTGCTTTCTGGGAACCTGAACTTAACTTTTTTTGAGTACGTGCTGATTAAGGTTGCCACCCCCTTCTGAAGGAGTACGTGGAAAAAAAATACAAATAAAGTAGCTCTCAGATATATATGGAAATGTCTATTAGTCTCCTGTCCCCTTTGAGACAAAGTCCCACACAAACTGTGAGGCTAAGCAAATGAGAGCCTCAGTCCCTCCTAACTGCATTTTGTGAATCATTCTACCACAATGCAATTAAGAAGCCAGTGCCTGAGTGGAACAAGAAACAGTTAGGCAGCTGAGCAACAAAGTGCTGTATAAAGTGAGTAAAAGTAAGAAAAACTCAGCTTTTAATTCATTCTTTTACCCTACTGCCTTCTAGGAAGTTAGAATTACTAAAAACAAGCAAACAAGGGATGCCACCCAACCAAGCAAGCAAACTCTCTCTCTTACACACACACACACACACACACACACACACTCTCTCTCTCTCACACACTCACACTCTGGCTCACTTGGAAATGCTGCCATTTCTCCCTCGAGAGTAAAGTGGCTGCTGCATTAAACACAAAAAGGTGAAATGCATCGTGGGCTTTCCTGCGGCAGGGAAGAGCCTATGCAGCAGTCAGGGGATGCTTTACAGAAACTGAAGTCCTAAAAGCCATCATTGTTAGATTCTGCCAGAAGGAGGCTGCCTGTTTTCGTTTACTGCAAAATGCTGTCTTGACTTCAAATACAGCAGGTACAAGGCTGAAGAGCTCGACATTGGCCTAAGCCATTGGACAAGCCATCCTCTGTCTGAGACCTGTGTGCCCACCACCATTCTGAGTACTGTCATCTCAATGGGCACAGCTCTCGCTCAGAGAGGGGGATGAAAACCATTTCCAGGCAAAATGGCAAAAGGAAAGAAAAATAAATAAATAACTGAAAGACAAAACCTACTCTACTTCATTGGGAAGAAGCATAAATCCCTGTCCAATTTTATTTTAACCTCACCACAGCAGACCTTGGCTCTCTCTAACCACTTCATTAGAATTATCCAAATTCAAAATCAGGCTACTGGAAGTATCTGTGAACGATATGCATGTTAAAGTACAGAGGGGTGAAGTGTGGTAATATCCGTATCTTTGAGATGTGTCAAAAATAAGAAGAATTGATGAATGACAGATAAGTGATAATGAAAATATAGGAAAATATTGGTCTTAGAATATGAATGGTAGGTATAAACTCTTTCAGTTGCTTTTTAAGTCCAAAAATTTATAAGTAAATGGCATATATATATAATATATATTATATATGTATATATGTGTGTGTGTGTGTGTATATATATATATATATATATATATATATATATATATATATTTTTTTTTAAATGGATCACTGGCAGAAGTATAGTACTTTTCAAACAAATATGGAGGCAGGATATGTTTCTTTACTATATTATCAAACAGAACAGAGGTAGAAATAAACTACCTGGGTATTCATGACAATGGAGAATGAAGCATGAGTACAGATCCTTTATTAAAAGGATATTTAATAACCCAGTTAATATTAGTGGGTTCTTCCCAGTCTTTCAGGAAGACAATCTTGGATTTGGATATTTCCAGTGTTCATTGCTAAGCAAGTGCTGAGGGCTGATCCACTCAAGTACCATTTTTTTAAATCATCAAACATGAACATTCTAATCATAGCTGCCTTGGAAGCAGAGTGATCAAGACTTCATTTGGCCAAAAATGAGCCATGAGGCAGGAACATCTTTCAATCATCCAAATCCAACAGGTTGTGACATCAAGGGTTTCCCTGGGGATTCATGATGATGATGATTTAGGTTGCAGGTTGTTTTGCTTTTCTTTCCAAAATGATCTCTGCAGGAACATTTCTGCAGATCCTAAAGACTAAACCTGATGGGTTCAAAGCAGAAGCAGCTCTGAATTTTGGTTCATTAAGAAATGAATCCTGGCCACTGATGGGCGGGTTCCCTGAGAATAGGAATGTTCTCAATTAAACATTCCCCAGTAATAAGAGAAGCAGATGAGATTATTCCAAGACAGAATTCCCTCCAGTGAGCTATAAAGGGTGGATGAACTGTCTTCACATGGGAACCCCATGAGAAACTGTGGATGTGGGTGCATTTGTGACTCTTAGGATACCTTGGAGAACCCCATAAAGTGTTGGGTGTTAGCTTAACTAGATTTCCAACTGGTTGGAGAATAAATCTAAGATAACCCTAACCCCTACTTACGGTGCTTAAAGAATGTAATAGCCCATGTCAACTTAGATAGGATGTGTCTATGAAAACCCTTCAACCATTCACAGTTCTGTCCACACCTCTTGAACCCACTGAGAACCAGTGTAAAGGGAATTGGGACAAAAGTTAGAAACTATTTTGGCAAATGCAAAGGAAGCCTCTTTAACTGGAATCCCTGCAGAATTCTGGCCTGCCTCTTAGAAAGGAGTGATTAAAATGTTAAGATCTTGATGTCATTTAGTACCTCGTAGTGCTGTGATAATACCTTTCTTCCTAGATATGTTCTACTGCCATTTATAGATAGTGATATTGATCTTCCTTCCTCCCTGCTCCAGATTGATGGGATAAGTCCCACAGGAATACCTATTTGGGACCATTTGCATCTTAGATTCCTCTTTTCCAGGAGTGGCTTAAAATGTCCCCTAACTAACACTGAGAATAAAAATAAAGTGGCAGGCACAAGGCAGGGTCAAAATCTGATGTGTCATCTGGTCTGTCCAACCAGAATCCTCACTGCTGTGCTGCCAGATAACAAAGCCACCACCTTCTCAGGACGGTGGGCTGTGACTTTGCTGACACGATGCGTTTGCTTTTGCTCAACCAAGCTGAGCGTCATGCAAAGCAGCAACTCTCACCCCACAAGCAGGCTAAGAGGGCCACTCCAGAGGGAGGATGCGCTGGCTTGCTGCTTGGCAGAAGACAGGGAGCTCACAGCCAACAGGAGGGGCAGCAAAGGGTAGGTGGAAGGAAGGGAAAGTGAAGGGCAGAGTCCCAGGGAGCCCCGGGATGATGGGAAAGGCAGGGACCCTCATACCAGGGAAGAAAGGTACTCCTACGTAAGCCCCCCAGGGCCACATCTCACTCTTGCAAAACATGAAGTCAAGCTCTCTCTGGAGTTCTAGAGCGGAGTGGGGGTGACGGGGATCTTGTACGTCTGAATCCCCACAGTACCTGCCCTGCTCATGGCTGGCCTGGCACCTTTCAGCGCACATAATCTTTTTCCTCCAAAAGGGACATACTGCTGGGATGAGGGAAGGCTTTCAGTTTTGAGGAGCTGTCTTCTGTGCTTATCTCGCAGGATCGAATGCACAGCCTTCAGGAAATCCTTTCGGCTCTCTGGGGAGCTAAGAAAAGAAGGTTTACATGGGTTAGAGAAATAGCCCTTAACACAGAGAGGGTACTCATGCTATCAGGTGCAGCCAGACAAATATCCCTGGGGGCCAAAGGGTAAAGACTGGGGGTATGGCTCCAATTCCTCTGCACGAGCTGTTCTCTTCTCCCTTTCTGCTTTGTGATTCATCTTCTGCAGCCAATTTGGGATAGAGAATCCCATTAACCAACAGATCAATGGATTTTGTAGCAGGAAGGTGCCAAATTCTGCCTTGGCACTTAAGGCAGCCTTACTTTCTAAAACGTTTTTTGAGGAAAATTGAGCCCCAGGCTCTTGCATCTCTGCAGACAGATATCCCAATGCGCTTAGCTTCTTCTTGTGTCCCTGCTATTAAATGGCAGCTCCTCCCACCATCTATTTCAGCAGGTGAAGAATGAAGGCTACATTGTTAAAAACTGTCAAATCATCCCCGGTCCTAATTTTCCTGGGGAAAAATGTGCCTCCTAGGTGTGAGCTCTTCTTTGCTAGTTCACAGTATTTTTACCCAGGTAAGCTTCAGCTGGTATTCCCTATCGACAACACACATGGCAGCTCTAGACAGGATTGCTGAGCCCCAGGTACTTTACCAGCAAAATCTCAAAAGGAACAGCCTCTGCAGAGGGTAAGGCAATGTTCAAAACACATGTGCAATGTTTCAAAAAATTTTTCCTTTTACTCCTGACAGCTTCCTAGGTTTCTGTCGTTTGTTGACACTTGTCACTCAACAGAGAGAGGGGATGTAGCCACACAAAATATGGGATTTAAAGCTAAGTTCACCTAAGTTGAATCCAGTGTTTGTTTTCTATAACCCACTGGTCAAAAAGCCCCCTATGAGCCTTAGCCCCCTTTAATAATGAAATGAAATAATGAATGACAACGGTTAGTATCATCTGTGTTTGGCAAATGCACCTTCTTATTATACTAGCAACAGCATTATAAAATACCATTAATAATCATGATAGTATTGATCATATTGTTTTTTATGAGTAACTCACAGCATACTACCACTCTCTCTGTGTAAAGTACTGGATAACTATTGAGGAAACTAATGAGTGCCTATGAGTAAACTAAAGAAGGATTAACTGTGGATCATATTTAAAGCCAGTACGATGCAGTCTGTTGAGACTAACTATTTTAATATTTCTCTCTTTTTTTAAAATTTATTTTTTTGCAGTGCTGAGGATTGAACCCAGTGCCTTACCAGGCCAGGCAAGTGCTCTACCACTGAGCCACAACCCCAACCCCTATCTTAATATTTCTAGGGGAAAAAATAAAACAGAATTGGCTACACATGGGAGATCTCAAATTCTCATAAAGGTGATAGAAGAAGAACAAGAAGCCCACATTGTAAGTTTAGTGTCCACTCAAGATCTGTAGGTAATCAAGAGTGGCCAGCCTCCCTATGTTGAGGCTGTTCAAAATCATCAGGAGGGCTGGCGTTGGGGCTCAGTAGCAGAGCGCTTGCCTCTAACATGTGAGGCACTGGGTTTGATCCTCGGCACCACATAAAAATAAATAAACAAAATAAAGATATTAAAAAACTCATCAGGAATCCTGATGGTAGTGGCTTCACGTCACTACCCTCCTCCCAGCAGACTGCCCATCAGTTGCACCTCAGAGGTTTTACAGTGTAAACAACGTGCTCAAACACGACAACATAGCACCACCCTGTCCTCCTGTTTTATACAAGGTAAGCACAGAAAGAAAGCCGTCTCTGGAATGTTGACTGTATATGAAAATTCCTATATGCTTTTAGATAGATACTAAACTAACCAGATTATTGTCTATATTCTAATACCTTCAATTTATCCAATTACTGTTATTTGAAAAAGGTTAATTTCTCAAATTAAAACAAATAAAAAACACTAAAAATGCACATGGAGAGGGCAGGTGCAGGCTGTGTATCGAACACCAAAGGCTGGATGGTGGGTGCTGTGGCCTGGACTCTCGGGCTTACCTGCAGCACAGGTGGAAGACCCTCTCTGGCCTCCCTTCAGATTCCGATTTCACATGGACAATTTCACACACGGCATTTGCTTCTGCATCTAGGTAAGTTAAAACAAGGACATGTTAGGGTACGTTTCAAATTGACTTATTTACATGTTTATAGAAACATTCTTCGAACTGTGGTATATGACCAAGTATTGCAGAGCAGCACAAGAACGAAGAGTCTTCACTCCCTTCCTAGGATCTAAAGGGAGAGATCAAAAAATTAATATGCACTAAGAAAAAAACTCTTGCAAAGAGTTGCAAAAATCTCCTTCTAGCAGGTCTAAAAGGCCCTTCAGAAATCATATTGATTGAGGAATTCAGTCTTTCAACTGTGCAGCTAAAATTATTTCAATTAAGTGATTAGTTCTTTTGGCAACAGTTGGACTACACAGCACCCAGGATAACAGTGCACATTTTCATCAGGCCAATGACAAGAGGTGTCAGGCCACTGCTGGCTGCTGGGGGAGCCCTCCCGCTAAGTGACCAGGCCTGACCTTGTGAGCTGCCCTGGAAACCTAATGGAACTTCTCTTCCCAACTTTCCCACAGTGCCCTCTCTCAGTGAAGCAAAAAATGGCACACTACAAAGATGAGGAATAGCTATGTTTTCAAATATAGTCACCCTCAATTCCCAAGGGGGTGATTTCAGGACTCTCATGGATATTAGAATCTGAGGATGCTGAAATCCCTTACCTAAAATGTCCTAGTATTTCCATATAACCTGTGCATAGACTCTGTGTACTTTAAATCATCTCCAGGTAATTTACAATACCTAATACGATATAAATATCATGTAATACTATATTGTTTAGGGAATAATAATAAGAAAAATAAGGCTGTGTATGTTTTCTTTTTCCCAATTTTTTCTATCCACAGTTGGCTAAATTTATGAGCACGGACAGAGCCCCTGGAATACAGATGGCTAACTGTAATTTCCATGCTTTGCAACGCCAACACCATCATGTTAAGTCATGAATAAAGTGTTTGTGAAAGGAACTATGTGCTTTAGACAGAGAAGCAGCCCACTGTGAGGTCCCGCTCTAATCCAATGGTACAGAACCTTGGTCACAAACCCTCACTGTGCCTACATTATTTAACTCCAACCAGAATCCAACTGCACCAAGTGTTACAAATATTCTTCAACTAAGATTAAAATCTAGAAAATCCACATTCTGACTCTCAGATCCACTGGCATTTACTTCATAATGAGGAACATGTTGAGTAGTCTTTCCAACAATTAAAATGTGTTTCTGTCTTGATGGTTGTAAAGAATCTGAATGAAAAATAGAGGGTGAGAATGAAATGTCATATCACAAAGATAGCTTTGTTTTGAAAATGTAAAGTCTTTGTGTGTTTAGTCCTTAATGAAGGCAGAATTCTTGGCAAAGACGCCTGCAGCTAGCTGGAGGAATAACTTCCCATTTATAAACCTAGTGCAAGGAAACATGAACTAATTTAGAAGCAAAGATTCTAAAGAGGACAATGCTAGTGTGTAAGTTTCTAAACCTCAAAATGCTTGTAGACCCATGTTCTATGAGTTTCTGCAAATTCCTGCAAATTGACTTTACAAGTCAATTATAAGTAAAATGCCTCATGGTAAATCACTGCTGGAAGCATAGACAGAAACCTTCCTAAGGTGGATAATTATCCCACATATATTTCACATATATTGTTTTTGCATTTGTGCTTTCCTACCACAAAGGACAACTGTAAAGGAAGGTATATGTACTTTAATTTGGGGGAATAATTGAAATGCATCAAATATTGCAAGAGTGCTCTCCTTGGGATATCAAAGTAGTTGGTTTTGTGAGAATGAGACTCAGCTTTATTGCTTATGGAGCCAGCAAGTGGAGACAAGGAGAGTCTGAGCCACACAAATCAGACAGTAAGAACCAAGGTCACATTTGATGACAGAATCAAGATATAGTAATAAGAGTCCCTCCTGGGGCCTTACTTTACTACCTGAAACAATACCTGCTGTCCAGGTGGGAGAAGGAATAGGTGTGGCCAATATTTCTATGTGATTCCCAAAGATGCTCTTTCCAGGATGTGCCTGGGGGAGCCATTATTAATTTCCCCTTCCAGAACTTGGCCTCAAATGAAGCCCAGCTGAGTGACTGGAGTATTGACTTTCTTAGTTGATAACCTGCTGACATGTACTTCCCATGTGTTTAAAGCATCATTGAACCATATCATCAAGCATGCTGGTTGCTACCCAACAACTTACTTCACTACAATTTGGATGACAGAAAAAGAGCCAACATTTCAAAAGCCTTCACACTAGTACCAAAGACTGAGATGTGTCATACTCCAGGCAAAGAAATGAGTGTTCAATGGCTCTTTCATGCTTCCAGTGGTCTTTCTGGGTTGCTTGGTTAAAAGGCAAATAAGTCATTTGCATGGGCTATGTCTGCTCATGGTCTCAAGAACTCTTTCCAGAAGTTCAAGGCCCGTTGCTACTGAGATGTCGGTCATTATCATATCATTAGCACACGTCACAGAATGACCCCAATTCCTTGGAGCAACTTTGAAGACATTCCATATCTTTTCACTCAGTTCGTTCATCTACTCGGTTCATTCATTCATTCTTTCACTCAATACTGGCCAAGTAAGTAAGAAGCAGTGGAGGGACCGAGGGAAAAGGGAGAAGCAAAAAGATGGCAGGGTGCTTGGACCAGGAGCACGGACACAAACAAACAGCTCACACACTCGAGAAATCCGAGTCCAGCCCGTGGCAACGTTACCTGCACTTGCCAGAGCGCGGACCTGCAGAGCTTCAGTGGGGATCATGTGGCGAAACCGGAAGGGGTCCCACTCTTCGTAAATTGACAGCCTGTGAGATCCCACCTGCAGCAGAGAAGGAGCAGCTGTGGAGCACAAGCGCATCTACCCGGGATCAGGTCCCTACATTTCTTACTCAGTTAACTGCAGCACATGCCCAAAGGAACTCCACTCCCACGACCTTTTGTTCATGATGCTGGAAGTGAGGGGGTGCCGGATAACTATGCCCAGGGTGTGCAAATAGGTTTGCTGATCCAATGTAGGAAAGAGAGAGAAACAGTAAAAAGGGTAAAAAAGGAATCTTAAAAGAGCAGAGGCAACAGAGAAAGGAAAAATAGTGTCAGAAAGGTTTTGGGCCATGGGGGTCGGCAACGGCCATTCATTCTCATGCTCTAAACATGAGCCTGCCTGAAAGAAGGCAGATGGGCAGGTGGTCTCCACCAGAGTCCTCAGGAGCACACACAAAAGAGAACAACTCAAGGCGGCTCTGGCCAACACAGGGATAGACTTAGGCAGATACAACTGAGAAGCAGAAGGAGAGAAACTTGCAAACTGTGGGGTGACGTGAGAAGCCTTACAAGTTTCTTCTTCTGTTTGGAACCATCTTTATACACGAGGACCACAGCAGTTTTGAAGACTGGAAAAAAAACAAACATACAAAGGCAGTTATGGCAGGAAATGCATGGGGCTTCCCCCTTAACTTCCATAACATGTGGTAAGGACACCACAGGTTGGGGGGGAAGGCAGGGGGCGCCCAGGTGACTGACCCCACCTACCTTCCCTCCATTCACATTCAGGAAAGTCAAAGGGCTGTTTAGACAAAAATTTCCAGGTCCAAAATAAACAGAGAAAGTCTAAATCAATGGAAATGACACTGCTTCCCCAAACTTTCAGGAAAAACATTATTTTAGTTATGTTATTCAGAGGTTAAAACTTTAAGCTGGTATATATTGAACAAAAATGTACTAAGTAGTTGGAGAAATAATGCAAATGTCTCTATTATTTGCTGAAGGTAATTTACATTTATGAAAATCAGGTCAATAACACACACGCACACCAGGATTCATAACTCAGGAAATAAAATTCATCTTTCTGACCTAAAGAAAGGAAATTAGTTTATGAAGTAGAATTGCAATTCCACTTCTTACAAACACACTGAATCTGAGTAATCTTTGGAGTAGTGAATATATAGTTTTGTTCTTATGTTCTTTCAGGGGTGGGGACATATGACAAGAGTTATGCATAATATTCCAGGAAATTCGTTGAGCAATGCCAGACATGTTTATTTAACATGCAGTGATTCTGACTCTCTCTGAGGGGGAGGTAGTGTTGGTGGCAGAAGAAGAGAAGGGCGATTCTACCCCGCACTCCATTCTCTGTCAGGGTCTCTGCTATGGTCTATGTCTGTTTTCTCCCTGAATGTTGAAACTAATCACCAATGTGATGGTTTTGGACTAGGGCCTCTGGGACATGATTAGGCCATGAGGATTCTGCCCTCTTGGATAGGACTGGGAGAGATGCCTGGGTTTCCCTGCCACGTGGAGACCCACCTAGAAGGCATCATCTCGGAGGGAGTGGGATCTTGGCTGTCTAGTTTCTATGACTGTGAGGAATAAAGTTCTGTTTACCCAAATTATGGTGTTTTGTGGTGGTTACCCCTCAACATCCCAAGGTAGCCTCTCTATCCCTTCCTTCTCTAACCCCCCAGGAACCATCTAGTCATGAAGCTGTAACAGGAGGCACAGCCTGGTGTCCCAGCCACAGAATAAAAAGGAAATGAATATTCAGAGAATTCTCATTTGGGCCACCAGGCTTCCTGGCCTTGGGAGACCATCCCAAAGCATCTGGCTCATTTTCCATCACACTCAGGTCAGGTCAACTGCAGAGAAATAAGCCTTGAGCTGCCAAGACCTCAAGGCCACCATGGGTCTAGAGTGCTCCAGCCTGTCACCCCTCTTAGCATCTCAAGGTTCTCAGAAGAGGCTTGAAGGTTTCCTTCCAGAGGTTCTTACTGACCTAAGGGGACCACAGCAGCTCTGCATAGCAGCTGAGCATCAGCAACCCCAGACCCTTGGTAACTACCATGAAGCCTTCAGAAATCATGGTGGCCAGGACAGTTGGGTCCCCTTAAGGTGACTGACCTCCACTACAGGAGATAAAATCCAGTGAACATAGTCTCTCAGGTTATTGGGACCACAGCTCAATGTTGTGATTTGCTCTAAGAAGGCTCATGTACCTGCCTCAAGTTATCTTGACCTTGACCATCATGGATCACAGCAAGAGAGCAAGAAAGTGAGCCTCCACCTGGCTGGAACCACCAATACCTCCTACTCCTCCTTAATGATGTTGCCTGATTCCTTTAGATACGGCCTTGACTGCAAGACACCCTTGTCAGCCTAAAGCTCCTTCTCTGTGCCTTAAATGTTAAATACCTAACACACCTCAGAAGCCTACATAAGATATGTATGTGGGAGGGGGTGGTTTGTTTTTTGTTAGTGTTGGCAGTACTAGAGGATCGAACCTAGGACTTTACATATTAGGCAAGCGCCTTACCACTGAGCTGCACTCCCAGCCCTTTTTAAATTTTATTTTGAGACAAGAGTCTCGCTAATTTGCCCAAGCTGGTCTCAAACTTACGATCTCCTGACTCAGACTTCCAAGCCGCTGGGATTACAGGCAGGTGCCACCGTGCCCAGCTGTTTTTATTTTATTAAGGTAATGATCATTAACATTCAGTCCCCATTCACCATTCTGAGTAAAACAGGGTCTGGGGCGACAGCTAGCCCATGTCAGTTTCAGAAGAAAGCTGTCCTACTTCCTGAGATTAGAGGTTTAAACCCAAACAAAAAGCAACCACATTTCAACCTGAAAGCGGTCTGACTGATGGTAACTAACCTACTTCTCTCCCGGCCTCTCTTCCCTACTTCAAAACCCATTTCTAAGGCTCCTTTAGTTCTGCTTTTGCTCCTTGAAATCACATCAGAACTGTCAAAGCTGACACCTTTAACGACCTCATTTATGACCTATCCGTAAATAAGCTCATTATGGTGACTTCAGTCAGTCGCCCTCATAATCCCAATTTTAATCCTTTACTGTGGCTCTGGAGAAGACCCTGAATAATGATCAGCTTGCCTCTCATCACGCAGCCTTCCACAGCCTTTACCCCTGTGACCCCAAAGTGTGCCATCAGGGGGTGCACGGGGGCTGGGGATACAGGAGGCACCGGGTACGGTGGCCCACCTTCCTAGATCAGCAACCAACACCTGCCTCCAGGGAGCAGAGGACACTGAGTGGCACCCAAAGTCCCCCTCCGAACTGGCATTTCAAAAACTGGCATTTAAACCGTGGTTTGGCAAATGAAGACCCTGAGGCCATGTGCACAGAAATGGCCACCAAGAGCTTCTCATTCATTTTATTGTCTGTAGCCTGCTTTTGGCTACAGTGGCAAAGCACGTGGACTCATGGCCCTGAAGTTTAAAATTTATTCTATGGCCCCAAACAAATAAAAAATTTTGTGGATCCTAACTTACTCCCACTCAAATTATTTTCTTATTCTAAATCTGTTTATTTCTAATTACATGAAATCTGTAAAAATCTAGGGGACAAGTCATGAAATATTCAAATGCTGAACTCTGGAACTGCTAGCTTGTAGCCCTATATCAGAGACAAGAAGAGGTTTGGGTCATGCAATGACACAGTAAGAAACTTCAGAGACCCCGGCCTTCTCCAAGAAGCCGTCACATAATAAAAAATACAAGTGGTGAACCTGCAGGGGAGGGAAGTAAATACTACTGCCCCCCCCCCCGCCCCCCAAATGGCCAACTTGTTGAAACACTCCCAATACTCCATATGCTCTAGCTGGTCACATTTTCTCAGCATACTATGTACCGTTTTGTTGTTCTTTAATGAAATGTCATCAACAGCTACTCCTGTGAAATTTTAGGAATATCACTAATTTCTCAATGAAGGCTAAGTGGATCTAAATAGGAATTCCAATGACTTTTTAAATTAAATGCTCTGATTTAATACCACCAGGATGTTCCATATGGGAATACCCTGTTCACATTACGGAGAGGGGAAAAAAGACTTCATATAAAAATAGTAAGCAAGGTGGCACACGCCTGTAATCCCAGCTCCCTGGAAGGATGAGGCAGAAGGATCACAAATGATAAAAAATTAAAAAGGGCTAGGGATGGTTCAGTGGTAGAGGTGGTAGAATTGCCCTGAATTCAATCTTTAGTCACACACATACACACACAAACACACACACATACACACAAAAAAAACAGAAACAAAGAGCAATAGCAGTAAGCAATGTCCCCTCCCCTCAGCCCAGAAAAATAGTGTAAGAGAATGGTAGATGCTAATTTCCTACCCTTGAATCTTCTAGAGGGAAGCTGGGAAAAAATACAATGTAAGACAAAAGCATGAGCTGTGGATGGTTTTGTGCTCAAGAACAACCCTGCAACAGCCACACTCACACCTACACTGCAAACACAGGCTGTATTTCCGGAATCATGCATAATTCCAAGTGCACCATCCCATAATTTTTTCTCTCTCTCAAAAAGCATATTAATACAGTACAATCACATGAGATCTCTAATTGTACCACATGCATTCATCTGAACTAGTTCATTAAAAATATAGCTTGTTAAAAATAAATCATTCACAAACAGGTCTGTTTGCATTAATGACAATGTCACTGTGCAGAACCTCACCACCGATCAAGCTACAGTAACACCCAGCTGAGAAGCACCCTCACACACCATTATCTTGAAAAGATACTTGGACCAGCAGCAAACAGAAAAAAATAAAATCCTTTTCCTGTTTGTGTGTTTACATCTGAGATAGACTTGGACACTGCCATGATCACCAGCCCCCACAGCTGAGCGGCCACTACACCGTACATATTTAACTGGAAGGTTTAATTTACTATTTGTGAAAGACTGGCAGCTGGAGCAGCAGGAAGACCAATTTTATACTGAAATTAGCTTTATTTTAATCAATCATGTCTTAGAAAAGAAAGAGCGTTGCTTTGAAAAATAAGCTAGCCTTTACCCATCCTCCAAAACCTCTTCTGATACATACCAAAAGCTGCCAATTCTGGCTCCTTTTTCCACTTCCCAAGAGACGCCGGTGGGTTTAGCCAGATGACAGTGGTGTGCAAGAGAAGGTCCCCCATGCTCAGATCTGCAACCTGCAAATCAGAGACAGGGTGGTGTGATCAATGCTCAGATTTTCATGAAGTTTTAAAATATGGGAGGCTGGTGTCAATTTTACTTCATGAGAACATTTTCCTAAAACATTTCTGTAAGTATGTGAGGTAATCCATAAGTTCAATAGCTTGATGTGGCCATTCCACAGTGTTTCTATACAGCAAAACAACAAGTATGCATACATATGTGTACACACACACACACACACAGATGGTCCCCTCCTTATCATAGTTTAAGTTAAGCATGGGTTTTTCAACTTTACGATGAGCTTACTGGTGAGTTAATCAGATGTATCATGGATAGTTTCGACCTAAGATGTGTTGTTCAGGACATCACCCTCTGTCAGACATTGAATAATATCCAGGACAATTTTTACTTATAAATTTAAATTAAGTTATTTTAAAAAGTGAATTAGCATATAAAAATGACAGATCACATTTTAAAAATACACATGAGTTGTTATTGTCTCAATAAACACATCTGTACTTGAAGCAATGGGCTGTGGATATTATAGTATCTAGTTTACTCTTCTAATGCCAAGTTTTAGTATTGTTATGTTCTTCCATGTTTGAAATACAAAAAATATAATCAAGTTATAATAAAAATTGCTTTAATTAATCTTAGAAGTCCAAATTGAATCCTCTGATTACTAAAGAAACATACAGAATGCATTTATACAATTTTATTGTTGCTTTTTCTTCCTTTAAACAGACAAGTGCTTCTGGTTGTAGAGTCATCTAGACATATTGACCCACAGAGCCCAATGGTAGCCAGTGTTTACACTTCACAATACAGTAGTCCCTCCTTCTCTTAGTTTCACTTTCAATAGTATCAGTTCCCCATGGTGAACCAAGATCTGAAAGTATTATGTGGAAAATTCCAGTAATAAATAATTTGTAAATTTTAAATTGGGTGTTGTTCTGAGTAGTGTGATGAAATCCTATACTATTCTTCTCTTTCCTTCCTGGGACATGAATTATCCAGTGCATCCACACTGTATGCACTACCCACCTTTTAGTCACTTGGTAGCCACCTTATTTTTAAGATCAACTGTTATGATATTACAGGGATTTTGTTCAAAAAACACTTATTTTTGCTTAATAATGGCCACAAAGCACAAAAGTAGTGATACTGACAATTTGGATATGCCAAAGAAAAGATATAAAGTGTTTTCTTTAACTATAAAGGTGAGTTCTCAAAAAAACATATATATGTAGAGGAAAAAACAGTGTATCTGGGGGTTTGGGAGCATATCCTCCATGGGGAAGAGGGGACTGCTGTGATGTACCTAGCTTTCCCACTGGAGTCATTGGTCCATTTACAAACCTATCAAAATCCCAACCCCCTCCCCATTGTGGGGTTACTCTCGGCAACATCATCACAGATACACCAGCAGATAAGACTTTATAACAATCACAGTACATAGTTCATCCTATTTGTAAATGCCACCAATTGTCTGGAAGTCCTTTTTCTAATATGCCTTCCCACTAGCCTCTCACTTCTACTCTCTGAGTTCATAAATATCAAGCTAAAATGCCATCATCACCAAGGCAACATTTCAAACATCTGAACCTCGGAGTTGAACTCCTCGGGACAAATGGCTCTCATTTGTGTTGCTGTTTATGATCTCACTGCATACACAGCAGCTACCTGGAATCCCTCCACCAATGTAGTTTGCATTCCCTTCTCAAGCCACCAAACCTGCTACAGTGCTGACGATGTAGATGTATTCGCTCCACTGGTAGAGAATACAGGGATATCACTGCCTCCCCTAATGGGGATTATAATAATTACTGTAATTATTGCTGAGTCATATGAATATTGGCACATCAAAAGTTAAAAAATGTAAGCTATCATATTACTTCATTTATAGATATGAAGTAACAAGTAAAAAAAAAATCACAGGATATTATTAGCTAACGGGGAACTATATAGTCTCTGCTCATTCTGAATCCCCCAGCCCCACATGGAAGAACAGTTACATACATAAATCAAATTCTTGGGCACTACCTGAGCCACAGCCTTCAAAAGCAATTAAAGTCATTGTGGTAGATGGTCCAAACTCTACTTCCTCCAACAGAATCATATTACATTAGCATCCTTGGCCATATGATTTTCTAAGACAAGTCCACACCGCCACTTGCAGCAGTGTATGGAGCAACTATGGAGACTTAGGTAGGCGGTTGTGGAGGTACACAGGTTATGTACACAGGACTTGTCAATGATCTAAGGCAGAGGGGAGTGTACATCCCAACCCATAGGAGTTTGGGCATGGCCATGCTATTTGGGGCAGGCAGTGGATTTGGCACAAGTTCCCACCAACCCTCGTGAGCATCTACTTTCTAGCCATGGAAAGGACCTGCCCAAGACAGCTATGGCTACTTCCACCTGGATCCTGGAAGGAACCAGCAGCACACCTGAGCCTGAAGCCTTGGCATGCACCAGGAGAAACTCAGCTGACCCACACTCTCACATGAGACATTTATTTGTTGCAGTGAACCACTGAAATTTTGGTTGTTACACAGGAAAAAATGGGCTGTAGAGCCCCTGGGCACCAGGCTTTTCTCTTGACAAGTTTCTACGTGGCAACTCTAAGGACGGTCAGTGTCAGGGACACTGGGTCTGGCCAACAGCTTCCTCCTTGGGCATTCACTGGTCCCTTCAAAATCTTCCTCCAAAGATCCAAGAGTGGGTTCTGCTGGAAGGAAGGCCCTTGCCTCACAAGGACTGGGATGACCTGCTGAGGCAGGTTGCTTGAGGCCGTCTAAGGGAAAATGCCCTCTTGGCTTCTTCTTCCTCCTACCCAGGGATGCTCCAAGGGGTCCAGCCCAACTCCCCAGATGGTATCATAGGGGTAGAAGATTGAAGATCCAGATTCAGCACAAAATATTTCCTTGATGGCTACTTTCTGTGAACATATTTGCCTTCAGAGATATCCCAAGGAGAGCTAAAGACAGAATTCAGGTCCCTGTGGAATGCCACCATTTCAACATAAGCCTGCAGTTACCAGCAAGAACCCATTCTATGTTTTACCGGATGCTGCTGTTAAAAGGGAACTGCAAGGATCCGAAACCACCTTTGTGAGACTCAGAACATAACCTGTGTACCTCCACAACCGCCTACCTAAGTCTCCATAGTTGCTCCATACACTGCTGCAAGTGGCGGTGTGGACTTGTCAATGATCTGGGCAGACCACACTAGGCCCCAGGATTATTTCTCCCAGGTTTTATTCCTATAGAGTCAAGGTCATTGTATCCTTTCCAGTTTGAAGACCATTTTCCTCAATGGAGAAAAAGGAAATAAAAGGGGACTTTAGTTGTACCCCTCCGGTAATCAGTAGCCTTTGGGTAATCAGTTCACACTGTGGGCCTCTTGCCTGCTTGTTCATTTTATGTTGCTAAAACAGTCTTTTGTTGCTCTCTTTTGATATCTTTTCCAAGCTTTACTTTTTTTCTGGGCTTTGGACCTTCGGATACCAATATGCAATTTTTCTGCTCTTTAATACTGGCATCTAGTCAAGGTCCCTCCTTCCATCTTTGGCTCATTTCTATTTATAATCTCAGTTCCATAGGAAATGCTTTGTATAGCACTGTGTCTCTTTGTTCTGTGCTGGACAGATTTCTTACTTGATTGTCAGAGTTTCATTTCAAAGGTCCTCCGGTTTCACATGAACTAAGCCATATTCCCTTTCACCGTCTCTGACTTCTGAGTGTATTCATCTTTGTTTCCTTATATTCTTTGCAATCCACTATCCCTATCAGCTACTTCTTAGCAACGCCGTCATTTGCTGCAAAGGTCACTGAAATCCATTAATTTAGCACATAATGAAAATATAACAAAGTCTACTGAAACGTTCATTTCTGTGACACAGTAAAATGTGCTTCTGTCAGAATGAAAAACAACAAATACACACACACACACACGAAAAAAAATCTTGAAATATAGGGAGAGGGAGGAATCAAAAGTGTCTGTAATATTATTCATACAAGTCAACAAAAGAAGCCAAGAAAATTGCCTACCAGGAGGAATTAAGTATATTGCTCAATCACACAAAAATTAACATGAAAATTCCGTACTCAATATAAAAAAGATATTAAAATTACTTTCGAAATAAGTATGTGTACATATGTATATAAATATTTAAATCAATATATATTAAATATACATTAAATCATATATGTATGATTTTATATATATATATATATATATATATATATATATATATATATATATATATATATATCATATATATATAAATCAAACACCTAAACATTGAAAGTGGTAAATTCCATGTTTTCAGAATATAGAGAGGTTTCTTGCCTTTTCCTATGTTTTACCCTTTTCTTTAATCAGGATTTTTTTTTCCTTATTATAAATGTTTTGTTTTTTTTTAAAGTGGGAACTAATTTCAGAGTAGCCATATCCATTTTTTTCTATCTCTGATGGATTAAGTTATCTGCGGGATAGGGTTGAGGACATTCTCATGTTCTGCTCATGAAGGGAAATGAGGGGAAAAACTGTGTTTACTTGAAAACTGAATGTCTGCAGCTCTCCCTGGGCTCTCCAATTCCAACCCGTGTGGTGCCTTTGCAACTCTTACAAGGCACAGGGAATAGACATGTAAATCTGTCCAGTCTGGTGCTGGCCCGGTTCCCCCCCCCCCCCCCCCCCCCCGCCGTGGAAAGCAGAGCTTCCTTCCATCTACAATTCACTGCAGACACAAATCACTTCTCCAGATATCATTGGTGGTCTCTGACTTTGCCAGAGAGTTTTCAGAGCACCTGCCCAGATGGCTCACATCTGGTGAGTAAATTAAATATTTTAGTGTGTTTACTATTTTCATTTCTTTAAGATATCACAATTTTGCCTCTTTGTCAATGTTACCTTTAAACAATCTGAAAACTTGTTCTGTTTCCCTGAGGACATAAAAATCAACTTAGATAATGGCCTTTTGTGTCTCTGAAGGGAAGGTGTCTTCTCTAGTATAGTCTAAACAATCTCCTCATCACAGCAAGGGTGTTTCTCCTAGCTTTTCTTCTCCTTTTTAATTTTTATTTTTAAGGAGGAAAGCAAACCTGAATTCACTGCTCCACTTGAATCTGGAACAGAGACTGCTCCATCAGAGATGATGGGTGTCATTATGTATCCTATCCCTATAATTCATCTCCATATTATCTGCGTTTTTCCCCCATGTAAGTCCCTTTCAATGACTTGGGGACAGCTTTCAGTTTATGCTAAGCTTTTCTAATCTTTTTTCAATGATTTTAGAATCATTGAAAACTTGCATTCATTCGACAAACGTTTGTCTAGCACTGACTACGAGCCAGATGTTATTCTGATCTCTGAGGACAGCGCCTCGGCCTTTAATGGTACTTAAAACAGCTCAGATTTGGGTAATGAAAGTTCATTTGCACACTTAGCACAGAATAAAACCAGAGCTCCAAAAGGGGAAGAGGTAAGCAATAAGAACACGTTTCTTATATTAAGAGAGTCCAGTGGAGGAAAAACATCTCACGATGTAGCCTTGGACATGGGGCAAGAGTTCCACCAACATAAACAGTGTCCGCCCTGTACTTACAACTAACAGCTCATTAAAAGGAGAGCAGCGGACCTGAGCCTGGCTCCACAGACGGGCTCCTCACCTCTTTCTTCTCACCAGTCTGCTCGGCAATCAGCTGGTCAAACACGGCCCCGAATTCCTCGTGGATCTTCTGCATTTCGTTGATATGACTGGCGACCTTGTTCATTGTCTTGATGGCCACTGCAAGAACACAGGTCGTGACATGAAGGGCTGCTCAGCGTGCCCCTGGAGCCCAGCGGGGAGGCCTGCAGTGCGCTCACCGTCCAGGTGGTAGTGCTCCTCGCTGTCGGCGTCCGTCAGAGCAAACAGCTCCTTGAGCAGAAGTGGGTACTTGAGGATCCTCTGGATGGGCTTGATGAGGTATGACTCGAGCGTGGACGAGTGCTGCTGCCGTGGGTTCTGGATGTCCAGGAACGCCTTGAACGCCGTGTCCGTCTTGGCTGGAAGGGTTTAAACACAGGCTGTCAGGGGGGTCGCCTAGGGGACTCCCTTCTCTGCATTCCACTCACTTGATCTCATCCCAGGACGGAATAGAGACAGGGCAACAGGAAGAGGGTGGAAGAGCGCGGCTCAGACCCCTGGACGGGCCGGGCAGTCTGACTGTTTATGAATTTATGGGGGGATGCCAAAGAGTTCAAAGGATCACAGTTTGTAGATCCCAGACTCCTAGATTTTCTCCTTAAGTGTGTCTATTTGTGCTGTTTTGGCATTTGGTCCCTTACAGACCCTGGGAAGGATGCTCCTCCCAGGACCAGCCAGTTTCAGAAGATGCTTGCCTACAAGCAGCAGTCAGGGTCCCCCACCCGACCCCACCCCATGGCCACCTCTTCTACGAGGCTCTGACACTCTGGACCACTGTTCCCTGCCCTCATCACCCCAGGGGCAGGTAGCACACAGCTGGGTATCTATCACGCACCAGAGCCAGCAACACTAAACCTCCCTGCTCCTGCCCTCAGAAGCCACAGTGAAGGTTCTTGCCCACATTTTGCCCTCACTCCTCTGCCTCCTGACCACCATGGTGCTTCCCCAGGTGGCCCTGCGCGGCAGGAGCAGCCCCTCTCCTGGGAACTGTGGTGACAAGCTGTGACAATCATCTGAACTCTGGGCATCACCAGGCCTGGACAATAATAAGAGCTGTATTTTAAACACTCCTTCCCGGGGTTTCTAAGCTCTCCAGCACCCAGCGGCTGGTAGCAACTCCTTCACAAGGCGGGCTCCAGCCGGGGGGAGGGGGGGGGAGCAGGCTGCCCTGTCCAAAGCCAGAGCAGCTCTCAGCTACTGCTCCCTAGGGTGGGGTCCGGCCTGAGGAGCTCAGGCAGCACTTTCTCACCAACCCCCCTTTCACAAAAGTCCCAGTTAGGGAGCCCCTGCAGGGGGGCCCCAATAGGGCGGGAGGCACGTGCCTCTAGATGATGAGGAAACATGGCCGTGCCTTCTGGGTGAAAAATAATGTGTGGGAGGAAAAACTTCCTAAGCTTTCTCTGAGGCTCTGACACTCTGGATCACTTTTCCCAGAAGAGGGACAAGATGTGCAAATGACTTAATAGTGGATGTATGGAACGTCCAGGCTGGGGAATACCTGGAGGTGCTGGGAGGGTGGTCCGCCTTGAGCGGGAGCCCAGGGGTCCAGTCCCTTCCCCCACACCCTTCCCTGAGTGTTTCTTCCACTTGTCTGCTCCCGAGTTACACCCTTTATGATGAACCGTAAACAAATACAATCAACATCTGAGCCTGTTCCTTCTTCCCACTCAGCTCCTGCATATTCATCTGGGTGACTTCTGCCATCAGAAATTAGATACAGCACTCCAGGGATTCAATATTTTCACAATAGCACCTGGCAAATCAGAGGAACTCCATTCTTGAATAAATGAATAATGACTTTAAAAAACTCGGTGGGCATATAATTTTGAAATAAATTCACACCCCCCCCCCCACACACACACAAATGCATTTCCATCCCCAGTGGTGAGGAGTATGCCCTAAGACCAAAGATACTGCAAAGGTCATCCTTAAGTTGTAAAGTGACTCCTCTGTCTTTACTCAGTTCAGAAAAACAGAAAAAATCATGGGGGAAGATCTCTCAAGATCATAGTCTTTTCATCCCTTTAAATCCTATTAAGAGGAATCATACTCCAGAGGTTCAGAAATTTCAAAGAAATCCCTAAAGAAAAAGGACACTAGAGGTGAGTGACCCCAGTGGCCTAGGTGCCAGGGAAGCTAGGCCAGGTGCAGAGCCGACACATGGGGAAGCTATGGCTCCCCTGGGCCATCCCAAGTCTTCAACCAGGTCTAGGAGAAGCCTAGGAAGCACCCCACACATGCACACATCCCATTAACACTCCCCAAATCCTCAAGTCCTGAATGCGGCCGTGGGTCTCTAACCCATGACATCCACTTCACATCAGAGGAAGGCAGCGTGGTCTGCAGGAGCGCCACTCCCTCCAACCCGGCTGGGAGTCCCTGGTGCACCCTGATTCTCTAAGAGCTCTCTTCATCTTCTCTGCCAATTTGGCAAATAGAACAATGTAGGTCATGCCCACTGTTCTAGTTTAAATGACAGTATAATATTTTTCAGGTGCAAAAGATAATGTTACTGAATTAAGAAAAATCCGGGAGGGCGGAATTTAATCTAATTAAGTGATTAAAAAAAAAACATTAACTGCTTGAAGGAACATAATGGGTAAAGCTCTTCAAAACAGTTACTTTAATAATCTGACAACAGTTAGCAATTAATAAAAGTATTAAAAGAAACACATACACACAGATCTACATGACCAACGGGGCCTGTGTTAAAACACAGTAAAGATCAGACAGCATGACAAAACATGCTGGAACCCACTGCACAGTCCACCCCCGATGACAGGTGTCATTACCTGGGGCGGGCTCTTTTCCAATTCAGAGGCCTGTGTTGTATTAATATTTCCTATAATAGGTTTTAGATTAAGTTCAGCTAGTTGTCTTTGGCAACAAATCTAAGCACGACACATGGAAATTATTTATATATCCAGGGACCTGATTAGCAGATGTTTACTTGGCAGCCACAGCAAACTGCTAAGTAGAATAGCAAGCTGATTTCCAGAGATTCTTTGAAACTAAACCTCCGCTCAACTCTAGTGCTTACCAAGGAAATGTTTAATACATTTTGGGTGTGGGCGTGAATCTTTATTAATATTAATGGAAAATTCGTATACATTATGTATTACATTGGCTTGTGAAAACCTTTTCATTCAATGGAGGTGGCATTTTTAAGTGGATACATAATGACTACATTTCATAAGTACAGTGTGATATTTCCATACATGTACACAATCCATGATGATCCAGAGTCCTTAGTATATCCATCACCTCAAATATTTATCATTTGTTTCAAAATTATCTCCTCCGATTCTTTTTAAATATATATATATATGTATATATGTACATATATATATAGTTGTAGATGAACACAATACCTTCATTTTATTTATTTATTTTAATGTGGCGCTGAGGATGGAACCCAGTGCCTCACATGTGCTAGGCGAGGGCTCTACCACTGAGCCACAACCGCAGCCCCTCCCCTCTGGTTCTTTTGAAGCACATATTATTAACTATATTCTCTATATAGCCTATTGTGCTAGAGAATTCTAGAACTTATTCCTCCTATCTAACTGTGTTTTTTAACCTGTTAACTAACTTCTATTTCTCTAACTTCCTGTTCTTCCCAGGGTAGGGACATCTAGTCTTTTTTTCAAGATCAATTTTTTACCAATTGCCAACCTCCAAGCACTGACTAGAGAAGCAAAACTACTTCCTAAGACCTGAAGGATGTTTCATCTTCTCAAAACAATTTCAAGAAAAACTCCTGGGGAAGGGTGACAGCTCAGCATAGGTTGCCTGCCACAGCACCATAAAAACAAAGGAAGAAGGAAAGGAAAAATATCTTGTCACTATAAAGACTGCTTTGTTCTGTGCAAAAGTAACTGCAACTAGCAGTTTTCATGAAACAACCTTGGCAGTGGTGTCCGTAGCTGTTACCACACTCCTCGGGGCATAAGCAGGGGAAGGGAAGATGAAATTCCACAAAAGGGCATACAAAGTGTGGTAGGTTGTAACAGAAGTTAATGAAACATCGGAATAAAGTAGGGGTTTTAAAACTCCCCATGTTTTTACGTAACTGCAAGATGACCCATTATTCCAGCCCAAAAATGGATACGTCAAACTTTCATTATCAAAAAATGGATAAAATGGTGAATTCAGGAATGTATTTCAATTCTCAATACCTGTATCTGGGGCTTGTTGGAATGTCTACCTGGCAGATCAATGACTTAGATTTCTAGAAGCCACCAAGCAAGTCAGACAGACACATGTAACTTAGCAGCTGACACACTTGCCTTCCGCCTGGTACTTAGAGGCCTTACCTTTCACCAGGACCTTGGGGACTTTTGTGTGGCTGGCACAGAAGGCACTGTAGAGTTTGAAGCGGTCTGCGTAGTACAGAAAGGATCCCCCCAGAGAGAACAGCACTTTCTGTATTTAACGAGAAAAAGGGCAACTGGTTCATTTTCTTCTTCATTTGGACACATTGGCAGGACACAGCAGGAGCTCACAGCTGCCCAGCCCTCCCCAAATCAGCGCCACACCCACCCACCACAGCTCTCTTTGCTCATGGTTGTCCTAACATTGACTGTGAGGAAAAGTGAGTGGGCTCACAAATGTGTGCGAGAGGTGTTGGATTCCGTCTTCTCCATTTTTACAGTGGAGATGTCCCTGGTTTTCAAGGGCTGTATCTTTTAATGGGCTATCTAGGATGTTTCAATGTTAATGCCAAATTACACACACACACACACACACACACACACGAATGATGTTTGGAAAAGGCAGAAATCTGAATTCTCTTAAGAGCTCCTGTTGGGAGAAGGAAATGACAAACCAAATAAGTGTTGGCAAGGATGTGGGGGAAAAGGCACACTCATACATTGCTGGTGGGACTGCAAATTGGTGCAACTAATCTGGAAAGCAGTATGGAGATTCCTTGGAAAACTTGGAATGGAACCACCATTTGATCCAGCTATCCCAGTTCTCTGTCTATACTCAACATAACATAAAATCAGCATACTATAGTAACACAGTCACATCAATGTTTATAGCAGCTCAATTCACAGTATCTAAACTGTGGAAGCAATCTATATGCCCTCCAAAAAAATTATGGCATTTGCAGATAAATGAATGGAGTTGGAAACTATCATGCTAAGCAAAGTAAGCCAATCCCCCAAACCAAAGGCCGAATGTTCTCTCTGATAAGTGGATGCTGATCCATAATGGAGAAAGGACATGGGGAAAATGGAGTAACTGTGATTGGGCAAAGGTGAGGGAGGGGTAGGGAAGGGGGGTGGGGGCAGGAAAGATGGTGGAATGAGATGGATGTTACCCTAGGTACATGCATGACTGCACGTACGGTGCAACGCTACATCGTGTACAACTAAATAAATGAAAAGTTGTGCTACAATTGTGTACAATGAATCAAAATGTATTCTGCTGTCATATATATATATATATATATATATATATATATATATATATATATATATATATATTTAGAACAAATAAATAAATAGAAATGACAAACTAAACCAAGGTAGGAAAGGCTCACACCTCCCAAAGCAGGAAACACATTTCCCTGATCACCACCACCCCTTCTCCAAAACCACCCTCCCCACCAGCAGGGAGCAGGCAAGAACATAAGGAATCTGGGCAAGAACAGAGCTCCACTTTGAAATGAGGTGTCATCTCTCAGCCTTCAGGCATCCCTGCAGAATGGAGACCATGGTGGCCTTCCCTATGGGGACTTGAATATAACTGGGGTGGGATGCTTTTCATCATACACATTTCATATAAATAAATGAATAAATGAGTCACAGAAAAATATCCTCCATGTTTCACACTGATCTCATCTTCTCAGAAAGAGGCTTTGTTCCTTTAGGATTAGAATTAAAAGTTGGGTTCCAAGCAAAGGATAAGGGTTTTGAATCTGAGTGATAAACTGAGCTCCCGATGTGCACTTTATCTAATGCACAATGCAGAGAGAGTTTTGATAGTCTCTGGACAGAAAATAAAGTTTACTGTAAACCACACATGATGGGCACAGTTGGTAATCAGAGGCCTAAGTTCTTTTCCTATGTGTTCTACTTTTCCTCCTTTACTTTTGGAGCCCATGTGCTTACAGTGCCAGCAGGAGCCACCTGGCTCTGAAGATATCCTCCCAGCCAGGCCCAAGAGTTAAATAAGACAAGCCATGGGAGAAACGCTCTCCCATAATGCCTCCCCTCGGCCACACTAAAGCCCTTTGTTTAACTTAATATTTACAAAGCGCTGACTACACAGTAACCACAGATACAATGTTAAGGTTTTCCTTTATCCTTCTAGTCTTAAAAATCAAACTCAGTATTACAAAACTGCAGGGCAGATCAGTAGAGCAGAAGAAGGAGATTGAGTGTGAGGAAGGAGGGAGGACAAAAAATGGGCAGAAATATGGATTAATTTACCAAAATCACATTATAAGCCCATACAAATATACCATGGAGAATTTCACCTCTATATACATGTAGAGAGTACCAATCAAAAATAAATGAACAAATAAGCAAAAGGAAAATCGGTAGAGGAGAGAGAATGGGGGAGGGAGGAGGGGTGGGAAAGACGGGGGAAAAGGGATTGAAATCAAATTCTATTCATGCATGATTTTGTCAAAATGAATCCAACTACTGTGTATAATAATGTTCTAATTTAGAAAAACACAAAAAGCTAAGCAGTTAGCAATGTTTGAATTCTGCAGCTATTTAGATAAAATAATTTCAAATACTAAAAAAAATTTTGATCTCAGGGGACACAGAGTACGCAGATGGGAACATATATACACCAGACCACATCTGCGCACCAGACTACATGTGCTCCTCTGTGGCACTTCAGGAGGCCTCTCATAGGCGAGGTACACTGCAAACTCCCAAGTGGAAACTTCATCAAACTGATTTGAACCTACCTTAGAAACAGGAAGCAGAGCATGGTGCTGTGGGTGGGTGGAGGTGAGAGGCAGGAGAGAGAAACCACAAGGCAGGAAGAGGCTTTGAGGGATCCTGACTATGTCCATGGTCCTGACTGTGTCGATGATGTCACAGGTGTGTGTGTGAACTGGGTCATCAACTGTATGCTTTAATTACATGCAGTGCATTATGCCTCAATTAATCTGTTCTTTAAAAGTATATAAAGATAACACAGAAGCCAATACATGCATCAGTGGAATTTTGTAAACTGAGGCTTAGCATAAGAGGGAGACCTCTGCAATAAAGTAGGACCAGCCAGGAAAGAGGAAATGAGCTCTGAGCATCCTTACTAAGGCACTAGTCATCAATCCTCATTAAGGCTGCCAGGACACTGTGTGCTGAAGATCTACTTCCTCCCGCATAATGATAGCATCTCTATTCCGCAAAGCTTCCCAGAACAGGATAATTTAATTTGTTTACCGGGAGACCAGAGGTGTGATTTTAATTTGCTAACAGCTAATGTTTGAAAGACTTCCTCATAAACAAAACAAAAGGTTAAGGTTGGTACATCTTCCAAGTGAATGCAGCAGCTGAACAATGAACACTAGTAGATGGTATCAGTCCTCCCTCAGCCAGACTTGCAAGATAACCTGGTTCCCCTCCCACTCCCTTGAGGAACACCATGAGCACCAGAGCTGACCAAAGAGACCATAAAGCCCCTGCAACCAAGGCTCAACCCGATCCGGAAGATAACCCACCCAAGGCAAGAACAGGCAGCTTTGCGCTATTCAAGGTTGTGACTGACCTTAAACTGGTCGACTTTCTCAAGCTTTTCCAAATCAGGTACCAGTCTCACTCCATCTTCTAGGGTTTTAAGGAATTCTACTTGAAACTCTACCATTTCGGTTAAATTTCCAAAGAGCACGTCAAGCTGAAAAATTTTAAAAATAAAAATATAGAATTTGATCTGCAAAAGTTCATAAACTTCTTTTGTATCCTATCACAAAGTTTTTCTATGGACACTTAGCAATTAGAACAACGACCCCACAGATATTGAAGTTTTGAGGTAAGACTAGATTCCTTGCTTTGCCAATTTCCTTCTGGGTTCTTGTCTTGCAAATTTTGAAGAATAAAATCCACAGACAACACAGAAGGGAATAGTAATGGAGTAGGATTTATTTAAGCTAGAAGAGAAAACTCCCATCATGCAGGAGGGGGCCTGATGGAAGAAAAACCCATTTTGGTGTGCTAGCTTAGGAGTTTATATATGGTTCTGGGTACAGCACGGAGCAAATCTATGTTAAACAGGTATTCGAGACAGCACCCAAATCATTGCTCCAAGTCTATGTAAAACAGGCACTGAAAACAGCACCAAGGCTAACTTGCCTTTAATTCTTTCTATCAACTTCCATCTGGATTTACCCCAACTTCCTATTTTCCCACCTGTGGGACCTTGGTGTTGGCTGGAGGCACTCCCACAGGTGAGCCTCAAGGCCATTTTATAGTGGAAATAGGCCTTGATAGTGTTCATTAACATTTCCACTGGTTAGTCTCCAGATGTGGTTCTTGCATTTGAACAAGACTGACCATTGGTATTTTTCACTACTACCAGAGGCTACGGCAGCTCCTTACCCTCCAAGTGCAAGCCAACGTTAACAGGCAATATTTGATCCAGCTATTACAGCTAAATGAATTCAAAATGCTTTGAGTACTGTGTGGGTTCCCTGTTCCTTCCTCTTTATTGGCAAGTCAATCTACAGTGAGACGCTCCATCAAGTTAACAGGATTTTCACCATACCTCATCTTGGGTGAGAAAAGTCTCCTTTTGAAGAGGTTTCAGGTATCTTTCCATAAGACAGTTTAAGTCCTAAAAGTTGAAAGGACACCTAATTAGCACATTTAAAAGTGTAAAGAACATAGAGGAGAAAAACAGATGATGTTCCAAATGCTGACATGATAGTGATTAAGGTCCACGAACTCAGGAATAAGCCAAGCTCTTCTGTCAGCCATGATCTCTGCTGTAACTAACATTGTACCCCGAGAACAGGCATGAATGACATGTGAAGACGTGAGCATGGCTCCAATAAAACTTGATATGCAAAAACAGGCAGCAGGCTGCATTTGGCCAAAGGGCCATAATTTGCTAATTCCTGATTTCATTAAAGATTAAAATGCAGATAACTAAAAACAGATCACACTGCTTTCACATGGGGAATGCAAAGGAACGTCAGAAAGTGTGAATATAAAGAAAACAGACCTGAACCCTTCTACCAGGACTCAAATATTTGACTCTGAAGATGATGCCCTCAAATTTTGGAAAGACTAAATTCCGTTGTAGTATTAGCTGTGCAATACGTTTAGAAAGGTCAGAAGGGTCATATGCACTAACATAACCTTTCTTGGGTAATCAACTATATATATAAGTAAATTGCTGTAAGAATTGATATACTTCCTTAAAACTCAACGGGCATCTCAACATTCAGAATAAAGGCCAAATTCCAAGGGACGGTTCCAATGCTCCAGTTGCACCTCATCCCTCCAGGGCGGCGCAGACACCCCAGACACCCCGATTCCATTCTCTGAAGAGGAGGAGGGAGGGCAGGACATACTTTCACGTAGGTGCGCTCCGTCTCCAAGAGCTCGCAGATCACCTTGCGCAGTTTATCCGCATCTGACAGCTGCCTCATGGTGGCCAGCTGAGGCCCCGTGGTGTCCTGAGGAGACGGGCTGGGGTCTGAAGGGTTCATCTCATGCAAACTGCGGCAAAACGCGGCCACCTGTTCTGTGCTCTTCAGAGCAGAATGGAGAAAGCAAAGCAGATGCAGTTAGCCTTCGTTCGAGAGCCTCGCCTGGAACCTGTCCCTCCTGGAGGCGTTTCTTCCTGGTTAACGAACTGTCACATATGAATTACATCTCATTTCCCAAATAGCTCCACATACACAAGAGCACATGGATCGCTGAAAAGAACCATAACAACAAGGGCTAACATATATTGAGTGGTCACGGCAGGTCACACACTGATCTGATGCACTTAATCTTCCCACCTGATGGGCAAGGGCTATTATCATTCATTCCAATTTAACAGCTGGAAAAAAGAAGGCCCAGAGAGGTTAAGTAACTCATCTGAGATGACACAGCTAGTAAGTGGAAAAGCTGGGATTTGAACCAGTGTGTCTGTTTTAGAAACCTGTATGATTTGCGGGTGATGGGGAAGGGGTGCTGGGACTATGAACTGAGACCTGGGTCTGGCATGCTAGTAAAGTGCTCAATCACTGAACTACACTGTCAACCCAAAGCCTGCGATCTTTTTTTCTTTCTTTTTTTTTAAAAATACCTTTATTTAATTTATTTTTAGAGTGGTGCCAAAGATGGAACCCAGTGCTTCATGCACGCTAGGCAAGCATTCTACCACTAAGCTACAACTCCAGCCCCCAAAGCCTGAGATCTTAACCATTCCATAAGAAGCTGATAAATCAGGAGACATAGAAGTTATCCACAACTCACACAATATACAATTCAATTAATTACCAGACTCACTTCATTACACAATCTGCTTACTTTACAATGTTGGAAAACAATTTCTTCCCATCTCCATTAAAAACTGGCTCTGAGGCGACTCTAGTTTAAGGCAGATACCCATCCATTAAAAAAAGAAAAATATGTTTCTCTCTATCTCTCTAGATTCTCCAAAGGCAGAAAGGTACCACCACCCCACACAGATCTCGGTGGCAGATCCCGTTCTCCAGTCCCCAACCGCAGAAGGTAATGATTCAGGTAAAGTCTGTGCAAGATTTTGTTATCAAGTTGAAGTTTAGGATTCTGAAATTCCAACCTGTCTAGTGATACAAAACAGTTCTAAGACTGGGCTGCTGCAAAACCAGTGTGGGCAGCCATTCTCCCCTTTGGAGGACACTGGGGTAACCTGGGGAGCTCTCAGGCATCCCCCTGCCAGGTGCACCCTCAGAATCATTTTAATCAGAATCTCTGCAGTGGGTGCGCAGCTATTGCCCCAGAAGCTATTTTGAAGCACAAAACTAGTCTATTTGTCCAAATGCACCATTCTATGTTGGATGGATGCCTCCTTGAGGGCAGCAGCTGCCCTCTGTACTTCTCCATGCTGCTTCTACTGGCTAATTCAACCCTAGGTACAAAGCACACATTCCCTGCAAAGAAGGGTGCAGGTAAAGAATTCCTTCTCTATCACCCAGGAAGAACATGAGCATCCACGTGCATTCCAAGGGCAATTTTTAAACACAGAGGAAGGCAGGTAACAGTAGGAGGCCATTCCCTCATTAGCATATGCAAACCAGAATACAGACAGAACAAAACAGGGAAAACTAACAAGGATGCATTAGCAGCAGTGTCCACAGAGGAGTGGAACCAGATCCAAACCCACATAACCATTATTCTCATTTGCTAGTAACTGCTGCAGCTGATGTGCTGCTCCCACCAACCCTGGTCTCACAAGCCAGAAGTGTAAGTCACCTGCCAACCACACCACTCAGTGTTCTCCATGGAATTGTGTTTGACAGTGAATATCCCCACAGGGAATCTTCCCTCAGGTGACTGGAAAAATACACCAAAATGGGCTCCACTATTTACAGTATGTGAACTCTATCTTAAGATATAACTCTATTTAAAAACAACAACAACAAAAAGACTATGTGTTTTTAATCAAGGCTTTTCAGTAGAAATAAACCACCCAGTTTTATTTAGTTATGATAAAATTTTACTAATTCAATGTCATTTAACATGTAGTCAAATAGGACTTTATCTTAAAAAAAGAAGAAATATATATATCCATGTTAACAAAAGGTTCAAGTGTTTTCCAATGATCCAACGGTGACTATAATAAGCACCACCATAAATAATAATGAGGGGAGAAAATATGCCCACAGAAATGAAAAATCCCATGACAGCAGGATCACAGCTAACAACCAGATGCCCTGTCCCCATCTGACCCAACTCTCCTCTGCTGCTTTGATGTGGTACCCAGCAAAGAAACTAGATACAACCCATGTACAACTGGCACTCCTATTCCCACAATGCTTTTCCAAATAGTCCCTCTACAGCTGTCTGTCCTCCACATAATTCACTAACCTACTCCCCATGAGAAATGCAGCAACACTGTAGTCCCATTAGCAATCCTATCACTTAGACAAACCATCCCCACGAGATCTGTGTTTCCGCATTTTATATGAAGTATCTCCCTTCACCAAAGGCAAAAGTTAAAGCAAGGGCGCTGCCATGGTAGAAAATTCCAAAAGATTCTTCCCTCTGTGCCTCCAATTCACATAGTCACCAGCCTGAATCCCCAAATTCCTGATAGCCTGTTGTCCTCTTGCAAAAGTTAAAGACGGATGAGGATAACTGCATTCTTCCAACTATCACCACTGGGCTATCACAGAGGGGAACTTTGACACCTTGTTGACACTCCAAAGGACCTTAACTTGCAATAATCTCATTATAATGATAAAGAATACACCAGCCAGGACAGATCCCATCACGCCCAAATTAGGGAAGAAAAGAGGAGGCAGTACCCTGATTCTTAAAAATCTCCCTTTTCATGAAAAACTCTGATGACAGCATGCACCACACCGGCTTCACTCCCCTTCCAGAAAAAACCCAGATCCCAGGGCTGCACAGGGAGAAGGTGCTTTAGAGTGAGCGCCCCTGCTCCATCCACTGGCCACAGAGTGAAATTTCCTGCCTGCTCTCAGAACCAGCTAGTTATTTATAAACAGTCCTAGGTAGGAACAAGAATCTGTATTGGGTAACACCACCCCAGTGACTCCTTACCACTCTCGAGCATATCCTGGAAAAATGACAGAAAGCATGGGTGGGGGTTTCTAGGTTTTTGTTTCTTGTCACACCATAAAAACTTTGAGATTTCCATTTTTACGAGCAGGAGCAGGGCAGATGACTTGTCCCCTGGGCCAATTTCACCCCTCGGGGTTGGGGAGTCCTTAGTTTAAACAGAGCTGAGGCTGGCGGCATGTGGGCCAGGGTTCATTTTTGCACCCCCAAACAGCCTGGCTACTCATCTTTCTCCTGTCATACCCTCCCAAGTCCTAGATTACCTTAGGAGACATGGCAGCCCTCCTTTATCTGCAGTGTCCCTTCCTGAGGTTTCAGGTACCCACACTCTAAAAACATTAACAACTGCCTCGACTCTCTCAGGAGGGAGAAGCCGCACTCAAGTAACTTTTATTATAGCAAATTACACTTTATATGTTATTTGTTTTAATGTATTATTTGTTGTTGTTAATCTCTTATTGTGCCTAGTTTACAAATTAAACTTAACCGCAGATATGTATATGTAGGAAAAACAGCATATAGAGGGTTTAGTACTGTCCACTGGGGATCTTGGAGTGAGTTTCCCACAAATAAGGGGAGACTGCCACACCTTTAGCATCCAGGGGACATCTAAGAACCCCCTAGGGTTCTCTTCCCAGTTCAGAGTCTCAGGTATCCCTTCCTCATTAGACACATGGCTAACCCTCTGAGATTTAGCTGGGTGGTCTCAAGTTGAACAGGGACAAAGCCATTTCCCCACTGGAAACTCTGCTCACTGATTCAAGGTACAAACTTTCAGGTATAGCCCAAGGAACTGAGTCCAAATGAATGTAACCTGTTTACTGTCAATTTCATGTTGTTTGAATAAAGAACAAAAAGTACCATGGGATTACAATTCATAATACATATAAATATTAAGGGTTTTTTTTTTTAAAAATCATTTATTTATTTTTGGTACCAGGGGTTAAACCTGGTGTGCTTAACCACTGAGCCACATCCCCAGCCCATTGATTGATTGATTGATTAGGAAAAGGTCTTGCTAAGTTGCTGAGGGCCTCCCTAAGTGGCTCAGGCTGTCTTTGAAATTGTCTTCCTCCTGCCTCAGCCACCTGAGCTGCTGAGATTACAGGCGTGTGCCATGGCAGCTGGCTTAAGGGGTTTTTAATTACAAGATTCTTAAATTTCTGCTTGGAAAGAATTAATTTAAAAGCATGTCATAAAGTTTGAGAACTGTGTTTTATTAAAATGCTACCCCAAAAATATCCTTGGAAGGAAGTATGGAATGCAGGGCTTCACTTTTAAATCTGCTGTCCATCCCCATTGCTGGGGCCCAACTTCTAATTTAGGTCAAAACCCATCAGGACTTTCTCATCGTAGCTCAGCCAGGATGCGGCACGAGGTGGGGCTGAGGCAGTGCTCAGCCCTGCTCCTCCACTGGGGGTTAGGTGGAGACCCTGTCACTCACACACAAGCACAGGACCTGCAAGCACCCAGAAAGGCGGTCTCAGTGGGAGCCCCAGAACTGCTCGGCAAGCCAGGCCTCCTGGCTCTGGGGCAAGAACTGAGGCCTCTGGCAAGAGGAAGATGGTGAGGGTGTCTCAGTAGGAAAGCACAGGCCGCTCTCCACTGGAGGACTGTCATCAGTCACCCTGGAAACCAAAGAACACTACAGGCGTTTGAGAGGGTAGCCGAGCTCTCCATCATGAGGACGAAGATGACCCAGCCCACAGAGAGCCAGCACAATGGCAGGAGGAAATGGGCCACTTTACTGAGGCCAGAGCAAAGCTCAGTGTTTATAACATCTCTTTCCTCCTGTGGAAGATGAAAAGAAAGTACAAGGGGGGGGGGGGCAGACTCTTCAGGACACTGTCAACTCAAGCGACCTAGCATTCAAGCTTTCCGTTATGCAACCACCAAAGCAGTTTCTGCTTCCAGAGGAGCTGAGTTCTAAAAGTGTTCTCTGGCCGATTTAACACATCCCACAGATTTAAAAGGGGCCAGAGTGGCCTAAAATCTTACAGCCTTTATTTAAGCGTTTTTTGGGGACAAACACCAGAGCGCTGATTCCATGATTTTGGAGCCCATGATACATACAGTGTATCATGATGATAGTTCTCTATCATCTTTTTTTTTTTAAATCTCTTTTTGAACAAACTTCAAAGAAGAAACAACTACCAAGGATGAAGACTTATTTGTGCAAGTCAGACATACCCGTTGTCAAAGTTAACTTCATTAAGCGACACAGCCTCAACAGACCGATGTTAACAATAAGCTATTAAAAGGTCTAATTGGGTTTTGTTAAATTCTCCCTTGCCATGAACCACTACATTTTCTCTTTGAGGTAGAATTTACTCTAGGAACTGATCTTGAAACAGGCCAGTTAATGTTCAACTGTTAACACATTCCTTGAGCCAATCTTTCTCTATCCACCTCCTTCTCAAATCAGCAGAAGTAAAGCCCAAAACACTGAAAGCTTTATAGAAGGAGGCAAGTTGAACACCCTTCCAAGCTGCTTGCCGATCGACCACTCAGCCTTCCCAGTTTCCGGTCCTGAGGTCAGGATAGGGGAGGCTTTGTGCATCTAACACAAAATAAGCTTAAAGTCTCAACAACCAAAAGAACAGGACACTTCCATTGACAACTAGTAAAATAACACCAATTTTAAAAACAGCCTTTCTGCTCTTTAATTATGAAAGAACAGATAAATGCAAACTCAACTGCATGCTAACTGCTGACCCCCCACCCTCTTCAAACTGCTATAATATATCTTCTTTGTCAACAGGAGGGGCCTTAGAGCCAAAGCATAAAACACAGGAAAATGAGACATTTGGATTGGAAAACAAATCCACCAGAGAGTCGTACCTTAAACAAGGCTAGAAAGAATTGAAACAGCAAAGGCGCTCACCAGACGAAGTGTCCGATACACAGAGTCACCAGACTTGTCACTGTCTTCGATCCTGGGCTTGCGCTTTACTTTCCACAGAGCAGACAGCATCAGGGATAGATTCTCATGGTAATCAACTCGACCACCCCGTGTGTTTAGCAGGGAAACAGAAGTTTCTTAAAATACACAGAAAGCACCAAATGCATTACAGCGCCACGGAGAGCATCCTCTCACGAGGCTATCCCAGACTGGTTCTGCTGTGAAAACATGAGGATGGGGACTGAGACAGCAACCCCCACGCGGCACCTGCTCCCCATCCTGCCTTCTGGGAGGCTGTCAAAGGCTGACTGGTGCCGGAGAAGTCATGCTTTGATTTCTATTGGCGAGACAACAAAGGTCCAGATAGGGACAGCCAAAACAGACGTGAGAACAAAGCACAGAAGCCTCCCCAGGACGCGAGCGCCTCTACCCTGCAGCCGGAGATGAGCTGATTGGCCAGCATCCTGCGCTGCACGAAGATATTAAACCTGCCCAGCTCAGACGTGGTCAGTAGCAGGCAGGACACTGGAAATGACTTTCCTTAACAGTGCAGGCTTCACAGTTGGTGCTAATGCCTGGTTGTGAGAGCCCACATTTCAGAGATAAGAGCAATGTGAGCAATTTAAAAGAAAGAAGAAGTCGTTCTGAATGGGAATGTCCTGAAAACAATTCCAATACATTTCCTACTTGGAGAGCAAGGTCACAGCTGCTGGGGCCTGGAATGCATGACCCAGAATTACCAGGACCTGAGCTGAGGAGCACTCAGCTCCAGAAACAAGGGTTTTCCATTAGAAACTGGGGACAGGACAATGAGCAGCCAGTGGCTAGAGGCGTTGGAGGCTGTCACCCACAGTCACCAGATGAAAGGCTACCAGACTGCCCTGCCTTGTGACAGCCCCACCCTCAGCCTGTGGCAGTGACATTCCAGTGCCACCACCTCTGGACAACAAGCACACAATTATCTACTTGCTCAACTCCAAAAGGTCACATGTAGCAAAAACTGCTACTCCAGAAACTTGAGAACTACAAAGAACTCCAACACGCTTTCTCTTTATCCTGCCCAAGGCTGTGAAAAGCAGCCCACTGACAAGATAAGCAAAAATATTAAACCACCACCAAATAACAGCCTGATATAGTCAGCCAGGATAAAAACTGATTACGTGTTCCTAGTTATTTAATTATATCTCTGCACCCTACAAATGCAAGATACAGCTGAAAAATGACTTTGCAGTCTATTCTCAGAAAAAAAAAAATCCCATGTTATATAGGAGATGCCACAAAAACATTTAACCTTAAACAAGAGACTTAGGACCTCTGCTTGCTCTAATTTTAAAGCATGAAAAAGACATCCAGAAATATTAAGTGGTTCATGGCTATGTACCCAACTGACTTCAAGCACCACTAATTAATTAATCCTGTCTTTAATGAAGCATGTATTTAATACCAGACTTTAACAATCAGGCCAGAAGTGAGTTTTGACCATTAATAATACAAGACCTGGAGCCAAACTGGGTCGTATCCTGTTTTGCCAGCACAAAGCTGTGTGACTCTTAGCAAGTCATTTAACCTCTCTGCTCTAGTATTCTCTGCAAAACAGGAAAAATAGAGTATGACTCTTAGGTATGTTGAGAGGATGAGATAATATGGAATAGAGTTTCATGTATACAAAATGTTAAATTAGCATGACTTCTTATTTATTATTAATAATATGCAGTACGACCTGGGCACCAAGATCTGCTGGTACAATACAAAGTTTTTTGCTTTCAAATATTCTAAATGAGACTGAAAAGGCTGTTTTAGTTAACAAAGCAGAGAGGAGTGGGAAGAGATGGTTTCAAAACATCCAGCCCCCCCCCCCCAAAAAAAAAAAACTTGTTGCCAATAGTTTTGAGGAAATTCTGTTTTTCAGAAAGCCCATTGTGAGATTTGATAGAGAAACCTGGGAACATCCCTGTCCCTGCTTTGGACCCCCTGCTCCCAGAGGGACCATGCAGTCAGAGACACACGGGGCCAGGCTTCAAAGCCTGGAGCCTCTTCCTTCCTCTGCACTGCTAGAAGCTTCTATTACAGAAGACTCTGTTTGAGATTTCATGACTCACTATATTTAAAATGGAAACAATTTCTCAAAATCCACAGGGGAATGAGAACACTGAGCTATTAGAGTGAGGTAAAATGATCCAAGTTAAAAAGTACTCAAAAATAAATGTTTAGGAAAAAGAGGTGTTTTCCAAAGTGCAATTAGAAATTGAAAATAGCATATTTAGGGCTGGGAATATAGCTCAGTCAAACAGTGCTTGTCTAGTAAGCATAAGGCAAAAATGTGTGTGTATGTGTGTGTGTGTGTGTGTTTATTTACTTATTTTAGTTCCTCTAATAAAATAATGTAATACCCTTCAAAATATATCAGTATAGAAACATCTGTCTCTCTTAAGGGCAACTAGATCCCTCCATACCACCTCCCCCAAAGTGGATAAAATTAATTAAATTTAAAAATTAAATAAATTAATTGAAATTAAGAGCCACATAAATTAAAAAGTTATTTTAGCAGTTTTGTTTTCTGGCTATAAATGAAATGTGTCTCTCTATTAATCTGCTTTTTAGTTATAACCAACAACATAATGACTTTTAGTCCATAAATATTAACATTACATTTAAATATTTAATTTTATACTGTGCCCAACTTAAAAAAAAAAAAATCCAGACATGACTATCGTACCATGGTGAAAGGGAAATAAATATGGGTACAAGAGATATTGAAGACAGTAAAAAAAAGTCATATAAATATAGAGGGAGGAAAAAACAGGAAATGAAGGTTTTAAAAATAGCTCATATTTGAATAGCATATTTCCATGATCAATGATGTGCTTTCCCATAGCAAGAATATTTGACCCACTCAATAATCCAATTGTGGTTTAAGAAGCACCCTGATTCGGCAAATGAGAAAAAAAAGGTGTAATTTAAATGGATATGATTTATTCAGGTTAAGTGGCTGATAACTGTCATGCCGAAGAATGAGAAACTGGTAGAGTCATCAACATAAACACACCAACAACATTATGTAAAAAGAAGAATTATGGAAACAAAACCACATACATTGCTTTATGGCGGCAGGGCGGGGGGGGGGGTGTATTGGGCATAGGTAACATGGGTTTTATTTCTTGCAAGTATCAGAAGAAAAGCTCTTTCTCACAGAACTCAACCAAAGAATAATCTATGTAATTTTTGTTAAAAAAAAAAGTTTTTTTCTTTTTAATGTAAAGATGTGCAGCTTTAACAAGAGATAAATGCAGATCATTCAACTGGAGCTCATTACAGGAACCCAAGTAGCAGGACAGCAGAACTGGCTCAGTCACACACACGGGAGATGCTGTTGCATCCTTCCTAGATGAAGCTGTAGGAAGGAACCTGGATGAAGTGGCAGCATTACCCAGGAGCTCGGGCAGTGGCAGAAATTAAAGAAAAAGGCCTTCATTTCATACAAGTGATTTCTGCCCTATGTCCCTAAGGCTGTCATTTGGATTTCACATCCTGCTATTTAGCAACCTCTCGGAAGCAGAAACACTTTGTCCCGTGGAGAGGCCACTGAACCACACACAGCGGCAGAGGTGGTGTGTCAGCTGTGACTCTCCGGTGGTTCGAAACACGGACGTGCAAATGAAAACCTCTCACCTTGCTGCTGTGATCAGTCTCATCAGAGGATTCCAGGTCTGGCCCTTCAGTCTCTTCCGGAGCGGTCTCGGCACTACTGCCCTGCTCGCTGCAGAGGCTGTGCCCTGTCGGGGGAAATCAGAAGAAAACATGGGTCAACATGTATGGCTACGGCTAACAGCCACTCCTGTGAGCCGGCGAAGGGAGCCAAGCTCCCGAGGGGGCACTGTTAGATGTCCAAGTACAAGCCACGATCTTGGCTCAATAAGTGGTAGACCAGTAACTGCTACTGTTATTACACCTGTATAATTTATACTGTATGTTTGATAATACAGAATAGTTGCTACAGAGTGACTATTTGTGCCTCTCCCATCTCATGTTGAAGCCTCAACCTTGAATGCCATTGTGATGGTACTTGGAAGTGGGGCTTTGGGGAAGAAATGAAGTTCAGATTAGATCACGAGGGATGGAGTCCCCGTGATGGGGTTAGGGTTAGTCCTTACAGAAGAGGAAAATGGACAGGGCCTGATCCAGACGGAGGAACTCCCCAGCCTATAAAACTGTGAGGAATGAATGACTTGTTTGGCCACTCAGTCTGTGGTGTTATAGACAGCCTGAGCTAAGACAATAACATAATTTATAAGACTATGTATTTATGTTATCTTAAATTGATTTAGAATCAGCAAATTAATTGATAGATTGATTCATTATTTGCTAATGACAGCATAACCAAAAATGACTGTCTTACATCCATTACCTGAAAGGCCCTACACTGCCTGTTTCTGCCAAGTCTGGAGAACTGTAAACTTCTTATGACACCCACTCTCTCACCATCTTCTGTGTAAAAGTGCAGGAGATTTTGTTCCTTTCCTGTTTATTGAGTTTTTACTGTAGTGTTGCTACTGTGCTTCTCTGAGCTGGGAAGAGAATATAAGTCACTGTCCTCTGAAGGGCTTCTCAAATTCACAGAGCCTCTGGATTCCCCGGTGACCATGTTAAATGCAGGTTATTCAAAACTTGTGGGTTGGGGCCTCAGATTTCGCATTTCTTCCAAGCTCTGGATGATACTAATCAAGACCACAGGTCCACGGGCACATCTGGAGTAGAAGGACAAACATTCGAACACCTTCTCTAGTGGAATCTGAAAACCCAGTGACCTGAGGATCACTGTCTTAGCACATCAGAGGCACTGGATCAGGGACCAAAGCACTCTCACTAAAGCCAGGCAAGAGAGAAGGAACTAGAGGAGGTGGGAGTGGAGGAGCCTCCTCTGATGCTCTGGATGACAGCTTCCCTCTGTGCTGTGGTGTGGCTGTGGTCTGACCATCCCCTCCATCCTCCCTCCATCCCCCCACCGGTTGGCAAATGCTCATGTGTTAGAAGCTGGTCCCCAGAGGGGCAGAGATGATGTAGCAGAACCTTTAAGACATAAGGCCCATTGCAAGGTAATGAGGTCATTGGGGGCACTGCCCAAGGAAGGGATTAATGTTGGTCTTTATGAGTGAGTGAGTTCTTGTAAGAGCAAGTTGTTATAAGAAGACCAAGGCTGGTCCCTGGATCTCTCTGGCTTCCTGTCTCACTATATCATCTCTTCCTACACGTGCTCCTGCCATTGCAAAGCCATCTGCCATGAAGTCCTCATCAGAGGCTGAAGAGATGGGGCTGCCTGATCTTGAACTTTTAGCCTCCAAAACTGTGAGCTAAATAAACCTCTTTATTAAGTACAAAGCCTTAGGCATTTTGTTATAGTAACAGAAAACAGACTCATAGGGTATGCAAAGTGGCTGCCTTACTCCAATGACACCATTAGAGCCACAGTTGTGTGGCATCATTTCTGTTAAGATTCCAAGCTGGCCAGAAAAGTTAGGGAGGTAGTGGACCTCCAAGCAAACCTTCACCAAATCTATCTCTTGTGGGCACCTTCCCCTTCCCTGAAATGAAGCACCAGTTACAGCATGCACCTTCTGTGGTTAAGGAGGTTTCTATTTCCCTGCTTGTTGCTCTGTGCTTGGGTTTTCTGGTGTGTCTTTGTACTACACTCAATCTACAACAAGGAGGTAGTGGCTAAGAAACAGGATCAGGATCAGCTAATGTGGCAGACATCACCCATGTTATGCCATCCCCTCCATCAGAAACAAAAGTGATAGAATACTTTATATAGGAGCAATGACCTGCATGCTGGGACCAGAAAGAAGATGGGCAGGTTGTTCCCCAACGTGGAAGAGCTGACAAGCTCATTTAGGGACAGTGTTAACAGAGCTCAGCTCTCTAATGGCAGGAGCATGCCAGGCTGCTCATGGGATGGGCCCCTTCATCTCACTGTAGTCTGCAGAAGAGTTGCTAGACTGTGCAGCTAACTGCTGTGACTCTACAGACCCCTGTTGCTTAACACTGTGCCAGCGGTGCAGCGAATGCTCATCAATTTGTGAGAAAAAAGGTTTTTATTTTAGTAATATTATGGGCCAGGCATCCTGAAAAGCAAATAAAACCTACTTCTGCAAAGTATTTGGAAATGTCAAACGAAAGATAACAAATACGCTTTTACATCTCAGAAGTTCTGATTGATTCACCAAGCCCAAGCGCTAGAGCAATGTTTTCCAGAGGGGGTGGGAACCTGTTGGTGTCATCAGTGAAACTTCTTTTAGGATAAACTGTGTACTTGGCAGGTGCACCTGGCACTAGGATCCCTGGCTTCTGGTCACCAGACACCATTAGGATCCCCAATCAGAGTTCAGTGACACATGTACCTGTGTACTTTGCAACAGAAGCACTCCTTGGCTAAAGCCCTAAAACCCTGGAGCCTTGGATTTTAACTTTAAGCATGAGACAGAAAACAGGTCTCAGGTCAATGCTACCTGTGGAGTCAGAACTTAATCTTCCACATCCACAGGGTACCCTTGAAGGGTGCTATAATTTGGATCTTGAACCCTACCCCAAAGGCCCATATATTGCAGGTACTACTGGGAGATGATAAAACTCCATCTTTGAGAGGCGCGCTCCAGTGAGAGATCTTCAGGTCACTGGCTGTGTGCCCTGGAAGGGGACTGTAGAGTCCTAGTCCCTCTTTCTTCCTCTCCTTTGCTTCCTGGCCAAGAGGTGGGTGGTTCTGCTCCATCACGGGCCCTAAAGGCACGGGGCCAATCGATCATGGATGGATACCTTAAAACTGTGAGTCAAAATAAGTCTTTCTTCATGAGTTGGTTGTGTCATGTATGAATCATAGTGATGGAAAGCTAAGGCGTTATACCCTCACTCTGAAAAGATGTCAAATGAAAGCAGGACAGACAGAAGGAAAAGACAAAGAAGCTTCTCCAACTCTGCTTATACTCTGGGTAAGAGATGGGGGAGGGGGGCAGGTTTCTTCCCTAAGATATAAACACAGGCCTGGCCTCAGGAGTATTTAGGGCTCAAATTTACATGATGTGCAGCATCTTGGAACCCCAAGATGAAAAACCTCCTTAAAGTCCTTCTGGGTTTGCATTCCAAGGGCAAGTGGCAGAAGCAAAGACCAGTCAACTCTGGAAGGCTCCTCTCTCCATGATGTCATCATAGAGAAAGGCTGATCAAACAGAAGCCTTAACCCAGTGTGACAAAACACAGGAGGAACAGTCCCTCTGAGCCAGAGGGAGGCGCAGACACAAAGAACACCGGAAGCAAGACCTCAAGGATGACACCACGGGTATCAGATGAAGGATGTCAAATAAGTAGGCCGAAATCATTAAAAAGCAACAAGAGGTGCTTTCAAAGGAGGAAAAGGTAAATTAAGCATTTCTAGAAACAGGAGCTGTTGCTACTGGAATCAGTGGGTAAGAATATAAGCTGAAGAAAAGACAGAAGACTGGGAGATCTCTGAAGGCATTTCCTTACTGCAGGGACTGTCACAGCTCTCCTTGTAGGACTGCAATTCCAGCTAAAATGCTATTCACAGGGGCTGCGGGGTAGCTCAGCAGCAGAGTGCTGGCTCCTATGGGCAAGGCCACGGGCCCAGTCTCCAGCACACACACTCCCAAAACAAATAACCAGACACTATTCAAGAAAGAACTATAATAAGGACTTTGGAGAAACAAAGAGTGAGAGAGAATACAACAGACAGAACCTCACTAAAACCAATTCTCTAAAAGATGTGTTGTAGGAAAACTAAAATTAAAAAAATTATATAATCCTGGAAAAAAATAGTAAACAAGCTGAAAAGGTAAAAAGAGGATAAAGACAGGAGTGAATCCTAGAATACAATAAGACTCTGGCCTCTCAAAAAGGCTTTTGGGGGTGAGAAAAAAATAAATAAAAAGATGCAACCAGGATGACGGTCAGGAGTGGTTATATTTAAAGCACTTCATGGTAATTTTATGCTTCAGGAGGGAAACAGAAAGGCTAGCTTTGGTTTCTGCTAGATTAATAACCATGCACAAATGCTAAGAGCAACCATAAAAGAGTAGATAGAAGCAGATCATATAAATTGAAAAGTGAAATTTAAAAATGCAACTGGGAAGAGGTCAAGAAATGGAAGGAAACATAAGCAGGGCAAATAGAATAAAAAAAGATCATAGATACAAGTCCAAACGCACAGATCTTTTAAATAATTGTAAAACACACTAAACCTAATCCTTCAGCTTCATTGACATGCACAACAACCAAAAAACAAAGCTCTTTATGTTCAGTTCCACTTCTTGCATGTAACGTGAAGCTTTGCTCCAGCTTCATGTTACATGGAAGAAGTGGAATTGAACATAAAGAGAAGATTAAAAGGATGGAAAAATGTATTAGGCAAATGTAAAGAAAGTTATGTACATGCCAGATCCAAGATTGAGTGACACTAAAGAGGATGTAAACATAGAAAATTTTATGCTTGACCCATGAATGTAGTTCAAGCCCTATTCCCAAAGATGATGAATACACATTTTTCCAAGGATTTACAACTTTAATATAAACAGTTCATCTAGGATGGCACAAAATCAAGTCTTAACCAATACCAAGGTGTCTGTCTTCATGTAGACCAGCCCAGGGGCATTTTCCCTAAAGTTAAACTTTTTACAAAAGAACAAAAGACCAAAAACACCAAAGACAGTTTTAGAGAAGAAAAGCAAGATTGGGTACTTTTCCTACCAGACATCAACACACAGTCACA